ATTAGCATCAGTGGTACAGACAGTGGGGGGGGGGGGACCAACCCTAGAAGTGTTTAGATTTTGTCTGAAAAAGGTCAACAGTGAAGGTCACACAAATATAACAAAAAAAATCCCATCTTTTACATGGGGCAGCATAAAAAAATTCATATCTCACTGAAATGTTATCAAAATCATTTGAAATTTGCCACACATATGTAGGGTGGCAATGTCTATCACCACACCAAATTTCATCTGGATCTGAAAGCCATCTAAATTTAACATTAACACCATTTAACGCATTTTTTCTACCATAACTTGGCCTGTAATGAAGACTGAACCCTGAAATGTTCATGTAAGATGCACAGTATTACTGCCCATTATATCCCAAATGATGATCCAGATCAAGGATTTTAGGACATTTGGTGTTGTTCTGAATCTCCTTTTTCACAAAGGACCTATTTGTCTGAGTGAATGTTGTGCCTTGGTGAAAGGTACTTGTGCAGTCTGCTCCTGTTCCAAATGGCTCACTTCTTCATGCCACTGTACTTGTGTGCAGATGCACCTGCTGTAGTTTTTTTGTTTGTTTTAAATGATGTTTTTCATTTAGTATGTTTTATGGGGTTTTGAATTGCATTCATGATTTATTATTTAGTACTGACTGAAGAGGGTGTTATGAATCTGTCTATATAATATACATTGTTTACTGGAAACTTTGTTGTTGCACGTGTTGGCCAGGACACATGCAAAGGAGATTTTTTTAATCTCAGTGAGGGTTTCCTGGTAAAATAATAGTTAAATAAGTTTAATAAAATATATTAGGCTGCCCAGTAAGCCATGATATTTGGCCAGGCTCACCCACCAACTTTCCTCCTATGCCTGGAAACAAAAAAGGAAGAGCCTAATATAAGGATAGACTAGTTTTGAAAAATAGGGTGTGTTTGTTCCAGGATTAAATGACTGAAAATGTGTGTTTTTGAAAATTTGTACGCCCTCCTGCATAATATCTAGGGACTTTGTGTCTTTACACTGTTATTTTGAGCTCTGTTAATAAAAGCAGCTGCTGGGTCTCTTGAGACAGTCCGGGTGTGGAGGGACAGAGGCTGATCCGCCCCTTCCTCCCAGCAAAGCCGGGAAGCATCTCAGCGGGCTGGGAGGCTGCTGGGCCAACAGACTGGGATGGAGTCTGGTCCTCCATCAACACGCACCTTCATCTGTCTGTTCCGTGTGTGGCTGTATTCCATCTGCTTGTCGCATAGCCTGTGTTACCGAGAGTGAAGCGAGCAGGTGAAGGTAGGATGGCCCAAACCAGCAGCTCGTCCGTGGAACTCTGACAATGGATCCGACACCCCCGCAAACAGACAAAGGTATTTATCAGTCCCATGCTTCCTGACGACGGTGCAGCTAAATGTGAATGCGTGTTTTCAGATTGGGTTTGTGTTTGCATGTGTCTGTCTGAACAGGCTTCTCTGTGGCGGTCACTGAAATGCTGAATGTGGCGGATGGTCGTTTTTTAGCGTTGCACTTGTTGAGCGATGCTGATGTGGGGCCACTTTTACAATGTAGCTACATGATTGGATTAGCCATCAAACCCCACCTGTCAGGCTGCAGCTTTGTCATGAATGAACAGTAGCGTAGGCCTGGATGATGAAGTTGCACCGCCCTTGTGATTCCAGCAACTTCACTCCCATCTTCTCCTTCAGCTCAGGATTCTGTCACAATGCTGCGTTTTCTGTGCTGCCATCTCAAAACCCACGTTCGTATTACACATGGTGGAGGCATATTCTGAAAAGCTGGGTTAATAACAAAACTACACAACCAGTCACAAGTGTGGACACATATTCCCATTCAGTTTAATGGAAAAGTGTGTCCAAACCTTTAACTAATATTGTATCTCCATGCACAGACAACACTATATGAAAATGAATAATTAACCCTGTCAGGCCTTTGTGGTTGACATATGTTAACCAGCATGCTTTGGTGCTATGTCTCTCTAGACAGTGAGGTCCATCTGAAGGGGCTAGACTGGGCTGGGTTGAAGTGCATGCCACAGCACCCCATGTGGGATCTGCAGCGCCACTGTCCTGGCCCCACCACACACTTTCCTTCGTGGACGATGGAGGGAGAGCCATTCACCTCTGCTCTCCCCTCTGTGTTGTACTCTGCCGGGGGGCATTTCATTGCCCTCTCCTCCTCGTCTTCCTCCTCATCCTCGACAGATTCAGCCTTTGCTGCCGTGTCTTTGGAGCAAAAGACAACTTTTGCCTTGGTCGTATTCCTCTTAGTTTTTCTCCTCATCCTCATACTGCGATGCTTCCGTATCCTGCTGGATCCCTACCGGAGTATGCCAACTTCCACCTGGGCTGATGGCCTTGATGGTCTGGAGAAGGGCCAGTTTGACTATACTTTGACTTAGGGTTACAAAATACACACATCCAAGCACACTAGCATATGTTGATGTATAAAAACAAAAACACAACGCCAGCCTGTCCTTGTACTGTTCTGTTTCACGCTGCTGTTTTGTTTTTGTTTTATTCTTACATGCACAAATAAACTAAATGAGAACCAGTTCAGAATTTATTTGCAATTTGAAGGTTTTTCACTACAGTGTATCAACTGGTAGCTAGAGCCATGTATGCAGCATTTGTCCACATTACTAATTAAATATGCAATCTCAAAACTTTGCAAGAACACTATTAGTAATGCATTACTTAGTAGCACCTTACAGTAATATTACTACGTTTTCAGTAACAAGTAGTTTAAAGGATTACAATTTTAAAAATGATAATATTACTGTTACTAAACCAAATAACACTACGTTACTGTGTTGCCTGAATGCAATTTGACTGTTGTCAGGTTCACATCAGCTACTAGCCAAAAAGGTAAATGAAGGCCAGAGGAGGTGAGAGGCCTGTTTCGTCAGCTGTATGGACTGTCTTTATTTTGAGGTTATCTCACTAAAAGATACAAAGAACATTACTGTTTTTGTAAACTCTGTGTGGGCAGCATAATACTTCTAACCAAGAAAAATACTATCTTGAAAGCGTCGCAGCACAGTAATGTGAAACTTGTTGGACAAAACAGTAGTGCCAAAAGGGAGGCCTCTACTGCCACTGATGAATGCACTTCAGCCAAACAAGAGAAAATTAACTTCACAGCTGGACACACTGAAGACGTTTGTCACTGGGTATATCATAGTAGAAATGTTCCCCATTTCCAGTGCTGACTTAGCCTCATATGTTTGCTAGCTGCCTCGCGAGAAAATATGCAGGATCAGAAGGTGCACTTTGGAGTGCAGCAAGGCCATGAACCAGTTTCAGGCACATGTACAATGTTATTGGTGCAGAGATGGAACAGTTTCATCATTCATTCATTCTTATGGACTGCTTGGCAAAATCAAAATTTGGTGGAGTATGGATTTGATGTAGTTAACAGCTGAGTAATAAAAGTGAAGTAACAAGTAATGCAGCACATTACTTTTGCTGAGAGTAATGTAATTACTTGTCAATTAGTAACGTGCATGTGTTTTATGTGTAGTAACTGATTAGTTTTCAATGGCCTTGTCCATTTCTGAAAGTGAATCATTAAACCTATGTGTGCATTTTGTAAAAAACTTTTAATTCATATGGAGTTTGCCTCAATTTGTGACACTTAGAACAAATTAGCCTGTGCTTCTGTCCTCTTCTGCATATTTGTAATGAATTTAAATGAATACTTGCCTTTTAAATTTTGAATACACCTTTTTTTATGTTACTTATTATTTAAAGGTTTTTCATACTAAAGCAAACGATTGCAGCTGATTCCAAAATGATACATACACCTTTTAATAAAACCTTTATTCATTTAACAAAACAACACAGAGTTCTCAAGTGTTGTTCTAAACAGCCATACATGAATTTTTTTTCTTAAATGAAATACAGTCTAAAATTACAGCGTGTAAAACTGAGCACGATGTGAACAAAGGGGAAGTAAACAAGATACTAAATATTTATTGCCAGGTTTTGGCATGTGATAGTTTTGACTATATTCATTGACACAGTAATTGATCTCTTACATGATATTTAATGTTTTTTTCTTCCATTTCCAAACCAAACTTTAACAACTCTCGCACCATGTCTTCCCTTTCTGCCCCATACCTTCTGCATGATAGCAGCCTGCATGCTTGTTGCTGGCACATTTAAACAGAAAGATGTTGGTCTCATTGCAGGTTAATCGTTGTTGGAAAGGTTTTGTAGCGTTTGGTATTTGTGTCTGGGCACTAAGATTCAACAAACGGGGTCAGCGTTTGTAATAGAGATTGACTCCACCTACACGGAAGGTTGTTCGGCATGCATCGGTTAGGCTTACAAGCGAATCCAAAAGTTCAATTCAAAGAACGCATTGCGTTGAACTCCGCCATTGGATGGTGGCAAACGACGTAACATTTTTCAATGAGCCGCCATATTACACCATTACGTTCATTCGGTAAAGAAAGGGAAAGGTAGGATCCAGCTGCAGGATACTATTAGGAAGTGGGGGTTGTTGTCGGGCGTTTGTTAAAGCGTTGCACCTACACCTGCGGTGTCCTAGTTTAGTTGTTATTTTTTATTATCTTCACACGTTTTATCTAGCTACTCTTCTACAATGGCGACTGCGGCGGCAACTCCGACCGGCCAAAGAAGCACGTGCGGCAGCGGCACACCGCTGAGCCCGAATAGGATAACCAGACTGCAGGAGAAACAACAGCTCAGGGACCTCAACGACCGCTTGGCCGTTTACATCGACAAAGTTCGTAGTTTAGAGTCCGAAAATGATGTCCTCCACTTGCAAATTAGCGAGAAGGAAGACGTGAGGAGTCGGGAGGTGAGCGGACTGAAAGCGCTGTATGAGACCGAGCTAGCCGATACCAGGAGGTGTTTGGATGATTCTTCCAAAGAACGGGCCTGGCTGCAGATTGAGCTGGGAAAGATCAAGACTGATCATGAACAGCTTCTACAGAGGTAAGCTTCTAACAATATAATGATGTTGTACTGTCTAATACTGAGAAAATAATACGGTAAAAGGTTATACGCTTACTTTGATTTTCGAGCCACTTTTGCAACATAGCGTACGTAACTCCGTCCAGGGGGTTACGTTCTCTTGTGTGGTATTGGCGTCACTCAACTCGGCCATTGAAAAACACGCTTTATGGTTTTATTGTCCCTTGGATCGTTTTGTGGTTCGTTAGAAGACACTTGTAGGTCAAATATATAACGTTATGTATGTTCGGGCTGAACGATTATGGCAAAAAATATTGAGATGACATTGTTTAGCCATGCATTTATTTAACTTAAACTTTTAAAAGTCGGGTTTCTTGAGTCATAAATACAATTAAACAGAAAAACAAATTTCATCTGCCTAGTTATAACTGATAGCTCAGAGGAAAGTATTACTCTATTTATTAGCAAAGCCAGAATTACACATAGGAAAGTATTACTCGATTTATTAGCAAAGCCAGAATTACACATAAACGTTGTATGATAAAGTATCAACCAGATACACTTGTAAGCAGGCACACACAAAGTAGCAGCTAGGCACTGGCTGCTGTGAAAGCCAGCTTTACAAAATATCTTGATAAGAGTATAATCCATTTACATAGTACTACAGAGAGATCGTCATCAGATGGACAGTTAATAGGCAAATGTGCCTGTTGTACTGTGGCAGTGCATGAAAAATTGGTCTTACCTTCTGTTAATTACCCAAAAGTGTTCCTAGCTCAGGTAGTGATGTGCAAATGAAGCTATGAACCAGTATTGACCCACTTCATCAAGTACATCGAACATGGGTTCATTCATTCATTCAAAGCTTCGTTTCACTGACATCTAGTGGTGAAAGAGGAGACGGCAATATAATGTCTTAATTATATGAGGGGTGTAACTAGGCTTTGTGTGGATGATGTAAATACATTTTTGTAAAGATTGGTCAGTCGGTTGATTCTATAAAGGTATATAGTGTAGTAGTTGGGAGAAGGCCTGCTTTGGGAAACAGGATGTGCTAGTGTAGCCGGCCATCAAGTTAACTATCTGCGTTGTGTCTTTAGTGACGAATCGTAGACAGGGGTTTGCCATCCACAGGAGAGTTTATTCTCTGTGTGAAACACAACTAAATCAGTACAGTAAGTCAGGTCTCTCTATTCACATCTGAAGGGCAGAAAAGGGCGGCAACAACAGACTCCACGTGAGAGCTTCAACCTAGCTGAAACATTGCAACTATGGCTAGTTAGCACGTTAATAAAGTTGTGTACTTCACACAGGAAAGAACAATTTTCACACCGTTAGCAACTATGCAACAGAAAACGGTGGCTTATAACTCTGTGCCATAACAGTCTGAACGGTAAAGTGCATTCTTTTAATGGAAATAAAACACTTAAAATTACAGGAGCAGAGTATACAGCTCACCTCTCCTCAGCTTTCCACAGTAGCTGCGGAGGACCGCGAAGAAACAGGAAACAAAATAACGGGGCAATGGCCTTCAAAATAAAAGCTCCTGACCAACAAAACCATTCAAGGCAACACATCTATGCAAAAATATTGAACAATATGACATGAAACAAAGAACTGAATGCATTACATGGAGATCTCAACAATAGAAGTGGGCATTAACCCCCCAAAATAAAATAATATGCGCTGTAAGGTTTTGAGAATGTTCACGCTGCATATTCATCTGCTACACTAGGACGGTAGGGTGTGATTATGTGCATGGGATGGAGATTCATAGATTTTTATTGAGAAACTATTTTTTCCACTGTTTTTGGACTTTTGAAAACACACGTTCACATGGCACTGATGAGGCTGGTGTACATAGGTACTGCTTTGCTAGCAAAAACAAATGTGGGTACATATTTTTGTGCTCGTTCCAGTAGGTCAGAGGATCTTCACGTCTTTCCAAGGGAGGATCTGTCATGTGTATGGTGCTTTTACATGCCTATGAACTTGCTGAAGCATGAGCAGCAAGGCCTCGTGTTATGAATCAGTATTGACTGTTTGAACCAGTCACATGATTCACTCAGGGGACCCAAGCAGTTTCTGCTTCAGCTGTCATCGGTCACATGTCTTTTTCTGCACCAAAGCTTCAAAGCAGTGGTTCAAGGAAAATGTCTCTTTGAGTTTGAAGCTTGTATCAGAGCATTGGTGTCAAACAGCCATCACTACACTCAGGTTTCAGACTAATGAAAATTTGCACCATGTTGTGTATATCCAATTGCTTGATAATGTTTCCATGCACATCCACGAGTATCCGGTACACGGGCTGTCGTCATGTGCTGCAGGTGCTAGTGCATCTGTCAGTTGTTGCTTCTGATACCATTACTGGGAAAACACACTGGAAGAGTTGGTGTGTAAGCGCTACTGAATTGTAATTCCATTCATTCCACACTGAAAGCAAGTTGTGAGCAACGTGTTGCGTGTCTTTATAGTCATCAGAACAGCTGTCTGTGGTCTTTACCAGGCCAATCAACAACACAAGTGTACTGGACCATAAAACATTTTCATTTAAGATCATCAGGCAGAAATCGTGTTTTTATATAGCCTATAGATTTATAGAGTCACAGAAATAATCTTCTGTGAGCATTTGGAATTGACCCTGTACACTCACCCAAATTCTGAAGGTATATCCTGAATCCTCATACTTTTCTAATGATGTGAAATTAACATGCAAAGCAAGACGAATGGACATAACAGACAAACTGATTAAAATTATATCTTGATATTTTGTGCCTCTAGAGATTGCATCTGCACTCTCTGTTCCTATGATAAGTTTCTTTCCACTTGATTGATGACAGGCAATATGCCCATGTGCAGAGGAGTGAGGCATTTAACAAAAAAAAAACCCAGACAAATTCTGATCTGACCATTCTGACAGTACTCGCATGGTCAAATATCAGATATGAATGGAATCTAGGACCATATGAAAGTGGTTCAGATCTGATTTGAAAAAAATCCAATTGGTTTGTTCACGCCTCAGATCTGAGTCACTTGGAGGAAAAAGCTCAGATTTGAATGGCAATGGAAAGATGTAGGCGAAGGAGTTTCCAGCACTGACCATTCAAGTTGCAGTTGAGACGGACACAAATCCTGCTTGGTTTTGGGTCTGACATGTGTCAAACTTGTATCATAAGATCCTTGCATACAGTCATACACTTAGTATGCCTTGTCCTCCTCCTCGCAGCTACAACAAGAAGGACTCAGAGGCAGCAGGAGCCCAGGCTAGGCTGAAGGACTTGGAGGCTCAGCTGAACTCTAAAGAGGCCATGCTGGCCACAGCACTCTCTGAGAAGAGGGGCCTTGAGACCACACTGGCTGACCTGCAAGAACAGCTGCAGGAGGTACAGCACTGCAGTAACATTAATAGGATTAGGCTAGAGTGACTTTCTTTCCTCTTTATTTGTTCCTTTTGACATTTGAAAGAGGAATGCAGTGATTTTGATTGTGCTTATTAAAAACAAAAGTATATCTGTAAATATTGTCTACCTTTTATTCTGAATCCTGTACGCAAACAAACCATTATTTGTGCTGGCTTTTCAGGTACTTTGTGGCGCGACCAGGCCACGGTTTTGTGCAGTTCTGGACTTATGAGTGCAACTTATTTAGACTTATTTTTACCGTACTGCTTTTGTGTTGTCAGCTGGACACTGGCCTTGCTCAGACCAAGAAGCACCTTGGAGATGAGATGCTTCTCCGTGTCGACTTGGAAAATCGCTGCCAGAGTCTGACTGAGGAAGTCGAATTCCGTAAAGGCATGCATGAGGAGGTGAGATTTCTACTTTTATTAAGTCAAAGTAGATAAGATTAAGGAACTAAGGGTACAAGATATCAAAAGAGAAGTAAAGGAGAAATAAAATGTTGGAATAAACATCTTCCCTGAATTGATAATCTCCATTCTCACAATGACTGTCAAAGGTCGGCTGAACAGATGACTTTGTCATTTTAAATAATGTATAAACACCTTGAAAGCAGTGTTTAGTACTTTAACAGCAGAGGAGAATCTCCACCATCACCCTGATCCATTTCAAGTAGGGGTGGGATTGTGTGCACGCTGGCCATACCATAGTCATTTAAGCATTGTTCAACTCACCTAAATGCTTGCTTAGTATCTTCCTATAATGAGCTTTTCTCATTATGACAAGATACTTTTCTCATTTTTATGATGTGTGTTCACATTAAAATGTTTCTCATTATTATGCCATACTGTATTTTCTCCTTATAACGACACAGGCCACTGTATTTTCTCATGCTAATGCGAGCCCTGCACAGCTCAGAGTGAGTGCAGTGCACATGCTCACTTTGTGCAGTACGATCATTCAGTTCAGCAGCCTCTCTCTCTCTCTTTCTCATCAGCACCTTCCATTACAAAAAGGTGTGTACGCTATCAAAAATCTGCATGTACTCCTTTAGGAAAATTTGTAAATCCCACCCCTAATGTCAAACGTCTTTGGAATATCACCAGACTTTTAACATCAGAGAGAGCTGATGTGGTTTGTCTGAGGTATCATGCAACACAATCAAGGAGCTACAACACAAAAAACATGATGACCTTGAGTATTTCTTCAACTGACTGATGTCTTTATCGTATTTTCATTTTTTCATTAACGGTGATGAATCACTTTGTCTCATTTGATTTGTGCAACCTGACCAGAGTTGACTTTAGTTAATTAAGACAGGCTCAAATCTGAGAGCATTAAGTGCTGACTGTGTGCTGTGCTACAGGAAGTGAAGGAGGCCCGGCAGCGGTATGAGACCCGGTTGGTGGAGGTGGACTCTGGACGAAAAGAGGAGTATGAATATAAACTGACTCAGGCCCTGGCTGAGATGAGGGCTCAGAATGAGGATCAGATCAAGATCTACAAGGACAACATGGAGAGCACCTACGTGGCCAAAGTATGAACACACACGCGGTTTCAGTACATGCAATGAGGCAGCGATGAACGTATACAGCACCAAATGGGTCTTTGAAAAAGAATTGTCCCCTTTAGTGATTAAATTGACTAATCTACCAAAGGTCATTGATAATTGATTGGGTTCAGCTGCAGTACATACCCTGAACCCTGTTCAATTTACATAACACTTAATTATTTTTCAGCTATGTGAAGTTATTTAAAAGCTTGAATCAAGCAACACTCTATGCCAGGGTTAAAGGATATTCTAGACGATGGCAGGAAGGGGCTGACTGTCAGTCTGGGAAGGGTTTCAAATGGGTCTTTTCAACTGTTGGAACCTACTGAGCTCTAACAGAACATGTGTACCCCTTGTTACGGGTTCTGCTTTTGTTTCCACTGCCCAAAACCCACTTTGGAGGTGAGTTCCCAGAGATGAATTTCAGCACCCCTCAGGACATTGTACTAAATGAAGTTCCAGGAGTGTGAGGAGGAAGAGTCTGAAATGTTTTATGTGCCAGGTCTTCTTAGGGTGCTCCTGACTGTGTGTGTGTATCAGGCTCTGACACGGGACAGAAGCAGAGCGCCTGTGAATTAAAATGCAGTGTTTTATTACAAACATTTATCCACCTTTGTGTGGCTAGTCTTCACAGATTTACTCACCAGACATAAAATCTACCCACATTTGGCACTTGGCAGGTGTTAGTGACTAGCAGGGTCAAATTTCATTCTCAATAAACATGAGATTTTTCTTTTATTGTTGCGAGAAGATAACTGATGGGTAAGATATTCAGTTTTATTACCACTAAATAACTTTGTGTGATCACTGGCTGCTTTGGTGTAGTGTATTGAAAAGGGTTTCTTTTGCTGTTGTGACTAAGGTATTATTGAGTGTTGTATGTTTCTTTTTACACTAGCTTGGTGTGTGATTTTTGTTTGCCTGATACTTCAAAACAAACTACAAAAGAAAAAATGGTTTGATAAGATTGGATAGAGTGAGGATGATCATTTGGCAGCAAACACCACTAACACCATAATACATTATAAAATATGAATACCAAAATGTATTCATATGCCTTCTGTGTTATTTTGGCAAACAATTTTTAAGTCATCCTCATTGTTTACTATGAAGTGAAACTGCAGGTAACGCCTTTTTTGAAAAGCGAGTGTACCAAACAGCTCTTTACCAACCAGCTTCCTGTATGTCAGGAAGTGACTGATGCAGCTCAGTTCCCCTTAGAGTAATAGAAAGGAAACAGTGTTGATGTTACTGACTTTTGAACCATCTGTGCGTTTGTGTCCAGCTCGAGGACCTGCATCGGTTGTCTGAGATGAATGGAGCATCAGCCAACATGGCCCGAGAGGAGCTTAGAGAGTCAGCCCTCAGGATTGAGAGCCTCACTGGCCAGCTGGCAGGACTGCAGAAGGAGGTTGTCATTTTATCTTGTGATTTAAGTTTTTATCTCCTGACAGAATTAGTCTTAAGCAGCAATATCTGATGAAACCTGTAAAATGCAAAGGTAACCAGCACTTTCATCTTGGTATTGAATCATATTCTGACTTACCTGTTTTAGAAAATGCCAATTAACTTTACATAGATCTGTCATAGTGACCTGGACAGACAACAAAAAAGAAGCACTCAAACTAGTCATGTTGGGAGTTTCTGGATACTAGTAACTCCCATAAAAATGCAAGGTAACATGTCTCTGTGTAGGTAGGTTGCTATGTTTGCACGGATTATGCTAGAAATCACCCAGTTGTTTTAAAAACAACTTAACTTTCAATATCTAGAGAAATGCTAATTAATTTTTAAAAAAAATCCATGAATATCAAGTCAAAGATGAGTCAAGTCTTTTACCAATGTTAGTCAAGCAAGTTTGAAGTAAAGTTCTCCTGTTCACTGTAGCGATGGAGTACTTCACGGTGGTGGAGTGCTTTTGTTCATTCTTCGAAACATTGCATGCAGTTTATCTCCTCATCAGAACAACTACAGCCAGAGCTTTTTGCTGACATATAGATACATCGTGCATCCAAGTCCACTGCTCCAAAAATTAGTTAATTATCTGCTAACCACCTCCCGGAAAGCTTTTCTGTCACCTAGCAACTGGTGCCCAGCATATACCACATCCTGAAAAGGTACTACTATTATTGTCTTCATCTCAGCATTGAACTTAAAAATAGGTTTGACATACTGAGTGATGACTTCCCTCCGCTGGCTGCTGTAGTGTCAGTGGTGTTTGGCATAACCCCAGGACCGACACTAGACAACTGAGTGAAGTACTGGTCAGTCACTGACACAAAGGTCATCCATGTTTTACTGCCTCGCCTCATTTTTCTTTAAAACTTTTAACTTTAAACGACCCTGGTTTGAATCACCGAGCAGATAGAGCGGAGTGAATTGAATCACAGTAGGATCCTCAGCCCCAAAATCTACCTGGGCATCCTCCTGTGGGGTGCATGGATAAAATACCTGGCTGGCATCTACCATAGGAATGTAGGAAATAAGAACTATAAACACAAAAGGGGAAAAAAATGGAAGCCATTTTACTACGTAGCCTACTTACCCATTGTAGACACTCAAAAAAAAAAAAATGTAAAAATCAGCATAACAACAAGACACTATGCTTCTGAAATGCTATCGGTGAGGTCAAAACCACATCAAAGACATGACACCACAGATCTGTGTCCGGTGGAAATAAGGGGTGATGGGAAGGAAGGTTGTATAAAGATAGCATGTGCTTCCAACTGGACATGTTCACTGTTTGAAATGTTACATTAAGGTTCTGTGATTAATGTGAATAGTAGAAGTCTAGACGAGATCTGGACGGCTATGAGCAAACAACGCCTCTGCCTGGCAGAAAAGTAAAGCAAAAACTTCTTCTGCAGTCAGTCAAGAAGCTAGAGGTGACAAGAGGCTGGCTTCTGAGGAACAGCGATCCAAAGCAGCCCTCAAAATCATTATGAACTACTTCAAGAAACACCAGCTGAAGCTTTGGAAACTGCCATCATGTCCCCTGACTCGAGCATCACTGAAAATTTGAAACATGCTTTGTGTGCAAGATGATCTAAAATATCAGAACTTGAAGTACTTTCTAGGAACAGCGGTTGGAAATTCCTAAATCTAGAATATAAAAGACTACAAAAAGTGTTGGAAAGCTGTGACATCTGCTAAAGGAGGGTTGCCAAGTACTGAGTTAGGTGCCCAAACTTTTGTCCATGCTGCAATTGCTGTATTTTTTCTCTTTATGTTCATGAAACAGAAAGCAACTATGCATTAACAATTGAAATTCATTTTTACACTGTCCTACAGGGGTTGTATTTTCTATTTTTCACTTCAAAATCGAAATGTGTAATTTTCCTGACAGTGCCTTTTGCATACGTATACAATAAAGTGGTTCTGTGACATGTTTGCTGACTAAAGCTCTGACCTGCTTGTCTATATTCAGACTCGTGTTTGGCGTGATCGTATAGCGGAGCTGGAGGCAGCATTGATTCAAGAGAAAGACACAAGCCGGAAGCTGCTGGCAGACAAAGACCGTGAGGTGGCTGAGATACGAGCCAAGATGCAGGAGCAACTAAATGAGTATGAGCAACTGCTGGATGTTAAACTGGCTCTAGATATGGAGATCAACGCCTACCGCAAACTTCTGGAGGGAGAAGAAGAAAGGTTAGGACCCATAAGATTTGCAAGCGATGGCATTACTTAAATTTGTGCTCCTTTTTGATATAGCCACTTAGCTTCTCTTGTGCCCTGGATATCTAACTGTAGTGTGTCCCTCCCACAGACTGAAGCTGTCACCCAGTCCTTCATCTCGTGTCACGGTGTCCAGAGCCTCATCCAGCAGCCACAGTGTGGTGAAAGAGGAAGCGTGTAGATGTGGAGGAACAAGAAGCCAGCAGCTCGATGTCCATTGCCCACTCTGCCTCGGCCACAGGACCCATCTGCATCGATGAGATCGACATAGACGGCAAGTTCATTAGCCTCCACAACAGTGGAAATGAGGTAAGCTCCTGGATTTTTAGATGTTACACGCTTTTAGTTGCGTCATGGTTATTTGTAGATACTGCTGAAAACTTCTATTTCAGGAGCCACTGTAACCTGTTCTCTTTTCTTTTTTTATGTTAATGACTGTGTCTGTTTCAGGACCAGGCCATGGTGGGCTATGAGATGATTAAAACTATTGGAAATGCTACAGCCACCTACAAGTTCACACCCAAATACGTCCTAAAGGCTGGCCAGAAAGTTACAGTAAGAGTTTGTTCAAATCTTCTTTCAAAGTCCAACAAGAAATAAAAAGTGAAAACTAATTTAAGTCATGTAAATTCAAAAGTAATTTGAACATTTACAATAAAGGAAAAACAAGTCTTTGGGAAAAAAAAACAAACACAAGTGGTCCTTTCTCTCTGGAGCCTGTCGGTGGTCTTGACCTTGGCAGGTGTACGCGTTTGACAGCTGAGCCAGAAGGGGGCAGACTTGGTCCCTGCTGTCCAAACAGGCAGCCTCTCATTGTCTAAGTTGTTAAAAACTGTCACACGGTTTCTGTCTTTCCAATAGCAGATTTAGCATTTTGAGATTTGAGTTAAGTACTAAAACATGACAACTCAGTGGCTGTGTTGTTGGGCTGCGTTCCTGGGGATACTGAGGGAAGTGCTGGTTCTGTTTTACTGTCTGCTCTCAAACTCTCACTTTCCACATGACTGAAGTATGAACCGAATCATTTCAGATCAATGTAAAGACTGACGCAGGTGGACTGTGTGCCTTCTAACAATACTGCCTTTAAGATCACTGTAATAAATGTATTATCAGTCTTCATCTCTTCACAGAGAATGAAAAGACTTGTCTACACTAAGAATAAACACCATTCTGGCTGGTTAATGTGAAGATTGGAAGCATAATCCTCTTTTGTTCCAGGTTGCTGAACAAACAAATGCAGTTTAATATAATCTGGATTAAACCTCTAATGTCAGAGAGGGCCTACTAATATCAGTTGGTTCTTGACCTCTGAGCAAAAGCTCAGTGAACTAACTTTGGATATTTCAGGATGCAGTGTGTGTGTAGTCAGTCACTTAATGTGAATATTGTGTTAAATATAAAGATTTCTTGGGGACATTGTGAACCCTTATGTTCCTGTTTGCTATATGCAGGTTTGGGCATCTGATGCTGGTGTGATCTCGAAACCACCATCAGACCTGATTTGGAAGAATGAGTCCTCCTGGGGTTCTGGGATGGATGTCCACGTGGTGCTGAGCAATCCACAGGGAGAGGTGAGATGATGCACACACATTTATCAGCTGTCTTGATCCCTCTACTCTGTCTCCTGCCCTCTGTGTTTGTCGATTTGGTCTTTACTTAGTGGTTATATTGATGTGATATCACCACCTCTTATCTCTAGTCTAGTGTAATAGTCACCCATCCATCCCCACACCCATTGGTGCCTATTGTTGGAGTTATTTGTCTGGCCAAAACCAGGGTTTCCACAGGCCCTTAAAATCTTAAAAGATCTAAAATCCAGTAATCTGAAATTGTAGGCCTTATAATGGAATACAGTTTTGATGGGTCTTAACAATTGATAATGCTTTGGTTAAGTTGATTATTTTAATGCTAAGATAATGTTGCTTCTAGGGCTGTATATCACCGCTCATCACAATACAATCATGGATCACTTCTCTTTGCCAGTGATCCAGTGTTTACTGATACTTACAGTCTGGCTCTCAAAGTAAAAGCACAAAACATCAACCTTTACATTTTGCATCAGTGTCATCAGATCGCAGGGTGTTTGATCGATATATCAATTCAGATTGATACACCCCTAGTTACGTCTGTATGTCGCATTAACTTAAGTTGTGCTTTTACAGTACCTGTTTTGGTGACAAGTAGTGCTGCCTGTGGTACACTGGTTCCATGTTGTAGTTCTTTCTCTCATCACTTCATATTTGTCATGCTGTAATCAAACTACAAAACCAAACCAGATTATTTGCAAACTCTGCAGCCTGATCAGAACTGATTGGAGAGCACTCAGGGAGCATGTCGTGGTCATTGACTTTATCAGAATCAGCTTTATTTATTTATTTAGACTGAAGGTTGAGCAGACCCTGTGGTGTGGTCGCAGCAACCTGGAGCTGGGGGGATTTCCTGGTTCTGAAGCATACACTTAGCAAAGAGGAATCCATTGCATGTGCTCCTTCTGCACCCCTCTGTCACCGGTCACCGACACGCTCCATGGCCTCCAGTCCACGGCTTGTCAACGCGCTCCGGTAAAGTGAGGTGCGTTCAGTTGGTCTCTGTTGTCCTCCACCTCGCATTGGTTCCTCTTTGACACTTTGTTTATCCATGTGTGACCGGGCCAGTATACAGGCCTAGGCAACTCAGACCGTAGTAACTTTTAGTAGTTCCCACTTTTTGTGATTGAAGTTGCAGAACACTTACTTTTTACCCTTCTGGGGACGAGTTGCATCCTGGAAGTGGGTCTTCAAAGGATCTAAAAAAGGCCTTAAGAAGTCTTAAATTTAACCTGATTAAACCTGTGGAAAACCTGATAACAAAAACCTTCAAGAGAAGTGTTAGTCAGCTGGTTGTGTCACGGTTAAAAAGCAAAATAATCTTCAGTTATGTTCTTGATGGTAGAGTTTTGATACTGGCGTGTGTGTGTGTGTGCGTGTGCGCGCGCACACCCATGCCCATATACCTGTGTGTGGCAGGAGGTGGCCAAGAGAACCACAACATACAGAACAGCAGTAGAAAGGCAGCAGAGTGACGACGATGATGACAATGGAGTGGAGGCCATTGAAGAAGATGTCTTCCACCAGCAGGTGAGCCTAGCAGCCACAGCTGTCTCCTAACCTGTATAAGGGCCATATAACATGCTACATCTGATGATCTGTGGGTGACTGTGCACTGTTCGCAGCAACCAACGTGTACTTGTACAAGTTGCACTCATGTCAATGTGGGAGGAGGAGTTCTCTGGTATTAATGGACTGTAGGTATAAGCGCCATTGGGGTTTTTCCCATTACAGGAACGTATCGGAACATATTGTGCTGAGTAACACTTGTCATAGGTTCAGAGTTTGTTTCCACTACGGTGCGCCTGATTTGGAGGTGCATTCAGGGAGCTAAATTTCAGCATCCCTCAGGAGGTGGTAATAAAATCAAGTACCAGGAATGTGAGGGGGGAGGGGTGCATGTGCACACAGGAATCGCTAGTGATTAGTTAAATATCTGCATTAGCATTACAAGCGCCATGTGTAAACACACTGCTGACTGGGTGTGTGAGAAGGGTGCAGCCCCTCCCTCAACTAAACAGACCGACACAGAGAAAGTACAGCGGCAAAACAAAGCAGGACGGTCCACGTCAACCCCAGAGGCTGTTTGGTGATTAAGGGAAGTACTGGGTAAGGATGACTGAGCATTCAACAGCCCGAGCTAGACATCCTGGCTACACTTAAACATTCCTATATATCAAGTATCTAATCAATATCTAACTGACTAAGACTTTCAATATAATACTACAAATTTCACTTTCTGTATCAGTACCCATTAATACTGATAATTATGATCACTATGATTGTGATCTTAAGTTTTCATACCATTTCACCTCTAGTTTGTAGTATTGTTTCCACAGTGCGATTAATGTGAGTACTGTTTCTGTGCAGCGGGACCTTCGCAGTGCCAGAAGAGGCTGCTCCATCATGTGATCCCATTGCACCAATCGATAACCTCTTCCTCTGAGCCCAGCCAGTCTGCTGCCGTCTGTAATACTAGGCCTATTTTTCTATCTTTTGTAGTGTGTTTCAATCAAATGTGTGAATTTTATAGTATTTTATCTTTCTGGTTCTTTTAAAAAAAACAGTTTATTTTTCACAATGTATCTCAAAAGAACAAAACGTGGTTGTGAAACAAACTTGGGATTTGTAGTCCCCCTCCCTTTCATTTTTTAAACCACGCAACAAGTAGCTAAATCCAAGAACAGACTGTGTGAAGAAAATGAGCCACATATTTAGTCATTTAAAGATTAGATTTTAATTTTGTTTTTTACTTTATATTTTATCTAATTATCCATGGTGTTTTAGGCCTTTGAAGTCATGCGACAAGCCAGAAGATGTCAGTAATTAGTTTAGGTCATGGACATGTTTAGATCTTTTTCTATTTGCTGAAGCTTATTGAAATACTTTATTTAAAAATACCTGGTAAAAGAAATCTACACTGAAAAGACAAGTACACTAAAAGCCTGTGTAATGAATTATTTGCTCCTGTCGGTTTGGACCTTGACTGGACAAATGATCAGCATTATACAATATGAAACCTGTTGAATGGCATTCTTCTGATGTCTTTAGAGAAAAGGAAAAACATACTATGATTGTGTTCATATGAAGTGACAATTGAAGCTGATTAGCAGTTGTCAAGAAGACAGAAGTTGACATTGTGGCGTCGAGCCCTAGTGGTAGCATGATAAGGATTTAACTAGACTGAAAACAGCTAATTTCCACCAGGATCTCTTTGTTTTTCTCTTAAAAACCTTGTGCCATCAGAATAATTTGACAGATGTTATCTGATTCTACACCCAAGGGCTGTAGTGTGATGTCAGCTTCACTGACTTTGAAAAGAACAGTGCACCACTAATTAAGAAGCATTGATTGTACTCAACTTTTGATATGTTAAGTGTTTGAAATATGTTTTGTGTTGGTGTGTTATATGCATGCTATGGCTGTAATCTTCATAGATGATTAAATGTCTTCTTGTACTTGTGCTTTACTTTTTCATTCATTATTCCACCTAGTTAGGCAGGAGTAGTCACAGTAAGAAATTTGAAATATATGTTATATGGGCAATTAAAACCGTAAAAGCATAGCAATCAAGAAAACGGCAATATAAGATAGATGGCACGCAGAGTGCAAACTCCACCAAGGGCAGTTTGGTTTCTCCATAATGGCATAAAAGCAATGTTCCCATGATAGTTTGACCCCCACAATATGATTGTTTGTTTGACCATGAAAACATACTGCTGCCTTTTGGAGTGATGCTGATATTATCAAGTCCCCTCCTGCTTCAAGCACTCCACCTTCATCCCGCTTCCCAGGAAAGTTGCCTCCACCTCCTGACACCTGTGGTCATTAAGCCCTTTGAGAGACTGGTGTTGGCTCACCTGAAGGACATGGTAGACCCTCTGTGGTGTTCCTATGGGGCAAACAGGTCAGTGCATGATGCCGTCAACATGGCACTGTATTACATCCTGCAACACCCCTACTACCCATGGACCTATGCACCAGACCTCTTTGTGGACTTCAGCATTCAACACCATGATCCCGGACATCCTTCACTCTAAACTGACCCAGCTCACTGTGCCTTCCCCCACCTGTCAGTGGATTGATTGTAACAAGCGGCGCGCTGGCACGAGCAAATGAAACACAACCACTGACTGACATCATGCTCACAATCTGTGTTTATCACCTGGAGCGGGTAGCAGTGTGTGTAGTGGGTAGTGCGCCTGTCTCCACGAACTGTTTCAAACTGTCTTCACCGTGACCTCTTCCTGTCTCTCAGGCGAAGACATGACTCTGTCTGTGGGCTGGCTCTCGGCTTTGGCCGTGGGTGTTTTCTCCGCTCTTGTCTTGCAGAAACTCTGCTTCCCATATTTTTGGAGAGAATTCTTCTTTATGCTAAAGCTGGTCAGATTCGGCGTGAAGTTGGAGCTGTCCGATCTGACGTCCAGCATATGTACGGTCCTGGACAAGTTCATTGAGCAGGCGCAACGCACCCCCAACAAGCCGTTTGTCATCTATGATGGAAACATTCATACCTACCGGGATATCGACCAGCGCAGCAACAGACTTGCCGGTGTTTTCCTGGAGAGAGTGAAGCTGAGAAAAGGAGACTGCGTTGCCTTGCTCATGAGCAACGAACCAGACTTCCTGTGCGTTTGGTTTGGGTTGAAAAAGGTCGGCTGCTTGGTTGCTTTTCTCAACACTAACATCAAGTCCAAGTCTCTGCTGCACTGCTTTAACTGCTGTGGGGCCAAAACTCTAATTGTTGGATCAGGTAAAGCCTCAGGTTCTCGCTCCCTGTGGGTTTCACAAGAGTCCTCTTCATGTCTTCTATCTAGGCTTACAGGGATGTATGCTCTCCTCGCACCTCTTATTCTTCAACATAAATCATTGCACCTCGAAGGACTCCTCTGTTACACTCCTAAAGTTTGCAGACGACACCGGTAATTGGCCTCATTACGCTGACGAGTGGGCCTAGAGACGGGAGGTTGAGCAGACCCTGTAGTGTGGTCGCAGCAACCTGGAGCTGAACTAAAAACCGTGGAAATGACGACTTCAGGGGAGGTGGGATTTCCCGGCTCTGAAGCATTCACTTGGATCTCGCTGCCTCACGTGCCACCTTTAATACATCCCTCTCTCCGGTTTTTCTAGTTTCCAGTTTTTGACATCACAAAACACCCACCCACACACAGTGTAGAGGCTAACCATGTACATTTTACAAATAGTAAACATTTTATAAGTTTAAACAACTTGCATGTTGCTTAAAGATACACTCCTTTAATAGTGAACCCCAGTGTCCATTAAATGTCTCATCAGGTCATTTCAACAGTCTCAGCTGCAGCGACTTCTTACTGTGGGGCTCTATGCCAAAAACCTCCAAACCTGCTGTAGCATAATTTATTGTGTAATATTTTCCACTTGATAGAACAATATAAAATTTCTTTGAATCATATTCAGCTTCCACCCACGTTTCACGGCAAGAATTATTTTTCTGCCATTAGTAGGATTCACGGGCTGTGGCCATGTGACAGAATTGCTCAAACAAACAGGCATGATGTTGGTCAGGGACTTTGCCCTCACTATAACCCCAGTGCAACAGAGGATTCATGGAATAGTTGGAACAGTCCGACACTGATAAGAGTAGCTGCAGTGCTGTATACACTACTACTCAAAGGTTGGACACACTTTCCTTTCAGTTCAATTGGAAAGTGTGTCCAAACCTTTGAGTGGTAGCCTACAGTGTAAGCACTACTCTCATAGCCAGTATCAGCAGAACTTGCTACTGAAGATGTTTTTATGCTTATGACAGTTGTGGGTATAAAGTGTGGTCTTACAAGCATAGAGGACATACGTGGCTACTACATATATGAGTACTGTGTGTTTTAAGTGATTTAAAATGCAGAAGCTTTCAGAAATAATGCCCCAAATACTGAAACAAAAGCCTCAATTAAATCAGCATTTGCTATGTGTTTGAAACGCCTCCAACTGTCCATGGTAGACTTTGCAGACAGTTTTTTCAAAGGTACTCAACAGCTAGATTGTTCCAAGCATCTTGGACCTTTTCGTCTGTCAGTCCCTGGTTCTGCAATCTACCTGAAAAATGTATGACCTATGCAGTGGCTGTGGCATAAACACATTTTAACAGGCTTTAAGTATAATTCACAAATTATTGCTTATTTCTTCCATTATAGCATGTTTCAAAATAAATATATAAATGTTGTTGATGGGCAGCACGGTGGCGCAGTTAGCGCCGTTGCCTCACAGCGAGAAGGTTCCAGGTTCCGGCCCCACCTGGGACCTTTCTGTGTGGAGTTTGCATGTTCTCCCCGTGCTTGCGTGGGTTCTCTCCGGGTACTCCGGCTTCCTCCCACTGACCAAAGACATGCTGCTTAGGTTGACTGGTGTCTCTAAATTGTCCATAGGAGTGCATGCGTGTATGTGTGGTTGTTCGTCTATGTGTTAGTCCTGCGATGGATTGGCGACCTGTCCAGGGTGTACCCCGCCTTCGCCCGATTGCGCGTGGAAAGAGCAGAAGATTTACAACAGCAGCTGCGTTTCAGGAGCAGCTCAATACTTTAAGACAAAAAATGTTCTGTTCATTTTTTCCACTCCATTCATCCTCATGATCCTGTAGGACAAATAATAGCAGTCATTCTTCTTTCATTTTTGTTTTTCCTAGCTGATTATAGAGTAGGCATGCACAGCAGCTTGCTCGGGCAATCATTACCCCTGGCCCTGCAGTGCTAACGTGATTTCACAAGAATAACCAACAAAGCATGTTCTTTCTTTTTTTCTTTTTTTTTTTTATGTGTGTACCCCCGTGACCTATATGTGACTTCCGATTTTACAGTGGAGGTTTATGACAGAAACTTATACACACTGATAATTGTGAACTTTTCATGAACTGCAGCTTGGTTGTCTCTATCCCCCAGATCTAATGGAACATGTGGACAGCCTCCTGGAGGACAACATTCAGGTGTGGGCCATGACGAGCCAGAGTGAGAACCCACGGGTGCACACTCTGTTGGATAAGATCCAAGGTGCCTCTGACCAGCCTGTACCAGCAGTGCTACGGGCCACTACCTCCCTCAGATCCCCCACCCTCTACATCTTCACCTCTGGATCAACTGGTGAGTATTTGATTCTAGGCGGTAGATATAGTGCAGACATGTAGTTTCCTTTAGATAAAACTCCTCCTCTTATGGAAGATATTTTGCCACGATTGCAGTGTATAACGTGATATTGCATCCACTAGCCACAGTATTCTTGTACTATATGCATAAACAAATGTTGAGTTATTTTTCAATTAGCAAAAATGCCAAAAAACATGTTAATTTAGTCATTATGGGTTATGCCACTCAACTGTGTTTATTACAGATATTGACAAATATGGATTCTGTATTATGTGACGAGTAGAGCACTGGTCTAAAACTGGTGTGTTGTCAGTTTTGTAACATCTGTACAAAGTCCTGACAACTGAAACAGTCTTGCCTTTTTTAGACAGCATGAACAGCTTGAACACCGGGCTAAATAAGGCACCTATCGTTTTACTTGTCAGAGCAGAATCTCTCGTTTAAACAACACATAAGCCGTCTCTTATCGAACAGGCGGTTCTGTTTAACTATGTGATTCACTATTCAAATATGAATGTAGGTGAACTTCCAGCAAGTTTAAAGTACTAGTTTAATTACAAATAGTTCACTACTCCCCAATACTGAGGGTGAGTGAGGGAAGAGAGAATCTGGTGCTTCAGTGTTATCGGTGGTGTGATTTCTCTTTCATTACTGGAGTCACCTCTTAAGTTACCTCTTAAGGTTTCTTCTCAGGAGTAACCAATGTTATTAATAGTACAAGTGCAACTGAAATGCAGTATTCCATGACACTGTGTTGGATCTTCATGTACAAACATGCTCCCTGCGTGGATCTAACAGGGCAGTAGTGCAGCTGAAACAGGTGGAAGGTATCAAATGTATTTTTTAAAATATCATGTAGCACAGTGATGTCTTAATTTTCACAGGGCTCCCTAAGGCTGCAGTCATCACTCACAGGCAGTGTTTGTTCGCGACAGTAGGACTTTGGGCATTTGGAGCAACTGCAGATGATGTGGTGTACATTGCTCTGCCGCTCTACCACAGTGCTGCCTCCCTGATCGGTATAGGAGGAACCATAGAGCTGGGTAGGCCTCACAACAGCTGTTAATGACCCTAACCTTCATCTTTTTTTACTGTGTCAAATAACAAACATCTAGCAAACAGCTATTTAACAGACTTTCTATAGGAGACAACTTGAGCCCTGTTTTTTAAGCCTACAGTTGTTTATACTATGTTTGTCTCCAAACTGACAGAGGCACTGGGCTCGGTCTAACACATGAGGAGCAGCGGTAATAACTTAATAAATAGTTTCTAATCATCCTGATGTGGGGACAGGAATGGTCACGCTCTACCAGTAATTCTGTTCTCTACATATCAGAAGTGAGGGCAGATCAGGGTTATACAGTCACATTATCTGGAGTAAAAGCACGTCCTCTGGATCACTCCTGAGCTCCATCCAAGCTGTCAGGGCATTTTTATTTTACTCTGAGTCCAAACTCCTCCTTTAGAGAGTCTAAACCCCTAATTATAATATATTATAGTCTTATTATAATAAACATTTTCTGTTGGTCATTATAGAGAGGTTCAGTTGTTCTGCTTAAATGCAGAGTTTCACAATATTTGCAGTAGTGGCATTATTGTGAAAATATTTTCATACACCGAACCTCCCTAAACGACATTATGTAGCAGCATAGATTAATATTTAAAAGACATTTCATTGAGTTACCATAAGCAGTCGCCTTACTGGTCAGAAAGACGGATGGACAGGAATTTCAGAATTTTGTAAATCATAAATTCAACTGATTGTTTGCCACTGACAACACTGTATATTCACAGCTGGTGTTGTATTATTACTGTAGTAATTAATGTATCACCAAAACATCTAGCACAAGAAAGATCTTCTCATCCCTTGTTCCCAGGAAAATGCTACTTTAAACACTGAATCATCTAACAGCATTTTCTCAGATGATAGTCAGAGCCACAAATGATTATCAGAGGGAAATTTGAGCTCATTTAAGATCTGTGCAGTGAAAAAGGCTCAGAGTTAGACCATTCTAGAAAATGAGAGAAACATATGCATTTTGGTATTAAATGCTGTAGTTGTTGATGTTGTTTTCTTCTTTAGATATCGAGAGTATGCATTCATCAGCTGTGAGTGTAACAATTATGCAGTGGCCTTTTCAGCATCTCAATGCAAGACTGATTCTTCTGTTTTGTATATTTGAAAAAACAGTAGTTGACTAGTCTACACCAACTGTTTGACTGGACAAAGGCTCCTGTCAGGTCACGGTCAGCAGTGTTGCTTTTTCATTCTGGAGATGAAGAACGCCTTCATGGGACTGAGATGAGATTGGTGGACTGAATGTAAACAGTATGACATCAAGCTGTCTGTGAACCTTTATCTCAAGATAACACCGGCAGACATCGCATTCTTGTTATTTGCAATAGATTTGTTTAATAGGTCAAAGAGAATGTCATACATGATACGTAGTACCTCGGGTTGTGAAAGACATTGGAACAGAACTGTGTGTTCTGTTTGAGGTATCTCTGTGCTGTGGATATAGCCAGTGTTTAGTTAGTGTGTTTGGTTTTTATACTCTCCTTGTCTGAGATGGTCTAGATGGGGGAAACAGTATATTTGTCCTTTATTGTGATTATTCACAATAAAGGACAATAAAGAAGTTTTCACAAATGTGAAAGTGGGTGTCACTGAGTGTTAAGGATTTTTCTAGAATGTCTAAAACTCTTTCACAACATTCAGAGGTGTAAAAATAGAGAAAGGGTCACATTGTATTGTAACATCGAGTGTTTCACTGCAGTGTTCTTTCTTTTTATGACTGTGCGTGTGTGTACACCCGTGACTTATACGTATACGTGACTTCAGATTTTACAGTGGAGGTTTTAACTTCAGTGTTATACAGCTCCTCAGAGTTCAACATTAGCTCTTTGACCATCTCTTTCACTCTACTGGCATTTGTCCACTCCAGAAATTCCATTAGCCCTGTTCCACACGGTGTCATCTAACATTACTGTGTGGGAGACAAAGTCAAGTCAAAGTGTTTATTTGTCATATGCACAGTTAGGAAACATGTTTCCCTGTACAATGAAATTCTTACTTTGCTGTCCTCATGAATGCCACAAAAATACAAATGAAATATAAAGTAGATAAATAAATAACACAAAATCTAAGGCACTTTAAGCAGCAAATGCAGCAATATAATAAACATATATAAGAATATAATAAGAGAATGTATGCTGCATGGGAGCAGCATGTGCAGCAGTCAACATTCAATGTGCAATTATGCATGTGTAAACTGAGAATGTAAACAGTACAGGTCGACAGTACATCACGTATGTCCTGGTAATAAACTCCTCAGCTGTTTAGGAGTCTGATGGCAGAGGGAAAGAAAGAGTTTTTCAGTCTAGAGGTCCTACACTTCTGAACCTCTGGCCAGAGGGTAGGGAGGCGAACAGTCCATGCTGGGGGTGGATGGGGTCCTTGAGGATGGAGGCAGCTTTCCTACGCACACCACAGTCCTCAGTGTGTACTTTGCAGCTTTGTGCTCTGTCTTATCGCCTGATCTGAATGCATGAGAGCGAGCATGCAGCATGTGGCGTACCTGACTGTTTATCCAGGGCTTCTGGTTGGGGAACCTCCTGATTTGTATGGTGGACACAATGTTGTCAATACAGGTACTAATGTATCTGGTCACATACTCAGGAAGTTAGAAAAGGAAATCAAGACCATCCAAATGCAAACTCTCTTCAGGTGTAAAAACAGAAAGGGTCACATTGTATTGTAACATCTCCCTTAACTGTCGAATCAGAAGCCAACTTCAGCGTTATATGGCTCCTCAGAGTTCAACATTAGCTCTTTTACTCTACTGGCATTTGTCCACTCCAGAACATCCATTAGCCCCGTTCCACATGGTGTCATCTAACAGACAGGACAGTCCCTGAAGATCCCACAAGAAGCAACACCATTTTCCAGACCTAACCTCTCCTTAATACGAAGCATCCCTGAATCCTGTCCTCACCCAGGCAAAGAGCAGATATGTAGCTTAGTACACAGCATTTGCATTGTGTTTGCTCAGCTTAAGTGGTGGCTGGTCCAGCTGGATGATAGTGGCAGTCACCTCTGAGAGACCAGGTCTGCTTATTTGTCCAGCCACTGACACTGTTCTACCAAGATTGTATAACAAAATAAAACTATTAACAATTTCAGTGAATCTGTAGCTGTGTTATTACCAGCAAGTTCTCTGTGGGAGTAGGAGTGAGGTCTACAGGGTCATCAGGTGGGCACCTTCTCACTAACTGGTTGGGCCCATGACACTGAGAAGGCTCAACAATGTGTTTCAGCATCCCATTATATTAATAGTAAGGATATTGTTTCCGATTACAGGTGCAACTTGCATCTTGAAGAAGAAGTTCTCAGCCTCCCAGTTTTGGAATGACTGCAGAAAACACAATGTGACTGTGTTCCAGTATATTGGTGAACTCTGCAGATACCTGTGCAACCAGCCTAAGGTAATGTCTAGCATTCAGCTGTGATGGTTAACAACATCTTGTAAAAGGAACCATGTCTGTCTCTACGTGGACATACTGAGACTACCAAAATAGTTGGTTTCTGGTACATTTATGGATAAAATTACTATCAAAAAGTTGTATAACCCTCCTAACAGGAAAACTACTTTGAAACTGAGATGTGAGCAACATGTACGTGCTGTTTCAGTGTTCAGTCTGTTCAGTCCACTGACCTCCTTTTTGCTGTCTCTGTCATTGGAATCAGCCGATTGTCTGTCAGCAGCAGTGCCTGAGGGGTCTTTTGCTGTCCGGCAGCAGAAATTTACTGGATAAAAGTAGTTATCAAGTGGGCTGCATGAGGATTATACAGGAGGAACACACATTGCCTTTCATTACAGATTAATTTAGTTTATTTTAGTGTATTTGTAGCAAGGCAAGGGAATCTGCCTTCGGTGAAAACGGACATGTGCGCTGTCATTACAGATACAGTGATGTGTCTAATTTAGAACCCGGTCTGTGGACGTTAAATCTCACTACGCGCACTAGAGGGGGAAAACAAAATAGAGCTTGTAAAAGTAGGATTTCTTTCTGGGTGAGTGTTGAATTTGAAAAAACAGTTTAGAAAAAAGTGCTCAGTCTTGATTTTGGTGGATTGACACCATTTGTTGTAATTCTTTTATTTTATTTGACTGCTTGCTGTTAATATGTCAACATGACAACATCATTGTTCACATTAATAGATAAAATTTGTGGATTAAAATATTCTTATATTCATATTTAAATTGTTATTCACACACCAGGCTTCAAAACCGTTCCAGATCATCAACATCCATTGCAATTACGAAAGTGGCAAGCAAGGTAGAGAAGCAAAGGAAAATAAAAGCATCAGTGCCCTGAACAGCAGGCAGACTGTGTATTTGTAGAGTTCTTCACTGTCTGCTACATGTAAGCCATTTGAGTAACACTGTAGAAAACTGTGGCAGAAAGATAAGCAGGGGCTTTGTTTTAGTGTGTGTCCTCCTGTTGTGAACAGAGGCATGCATGCACACAGTGTGGGGGCAGAGTGTTGCTTCTTTAGGCTGAGCTCAAAGTCCTCTTTGTCAACTTTCCCTCTGTTATTTGGCTGTGTGGGTAGAAGGCTGGACATGACTGTCCTCACCACTGACTAGCAAATTTAAGATGTGGACACATATAGCACATAAGTACACATGTGCAATGTCGCTAGCATGCAAGCATGAGTAATTACTGCCTGTATGATATCACTGTGCACACGGACGATATAAAAAACATAGCAAAAACACCTGGTAAGCAGGTTTGTGCACATATTCTGTAGATGTATACCAAGAGATTTTGTACAAGGTTGCTGTTAGCTGAGGTGTTCACCTTTGTCCTGCAGGATTCAGATTGTGTATGCACACACACACCAGATACTCATATGAAACGTATTGCACATGATGTGGATAAAAACAGAGGTGCTCGTGCACATTTCACTTAATGTCCCCATTCAGTGATGAGTTGACCATTTCTAAACTGAGCTGCTTCTGCATAGAAGCACTAGAACATACAGTATGTACACCTCGTTTTTTTTTTTTTTTTGAGCTCTCAGTCGGATGCTAGGTCCCCATGAAGTAATGGGTTTGACTTGGTCTAAGTTTAGAGTGGGCTTAGTCAAGTAGTGGTTATAGCAAAAATTAATGCAAGTCGATGTAAGAACCCAGTAAGTGACAAAAACAAGTGTGTGTGTGTGTGTGTGTGTGTGTGTGTGAGTGTATGGAGAAAAGATTGCTTTTGTTGCAGCAGATTCACACTCCATTCATGGAATTTCTTTGTTCGTGACACAGTTATTGCATAACTGGCTTTTCCTGTTTGTCTCAGTGCATCAGTGTAATGAACATGCCCTTGCAAACACTTATGCATCATTAGGGTAGGGTAGGGTAGAACTTTATTGATCCCACATTGGGGAAATTCCAGTGTTCCGGCAGCAGTAAGGGACAAAAACAACAGAGAGCAAGCAACAAGACACCATAAGAACAGATACCACACACTGATCTTGATAGACAAATTCAGAAAGCACAGAAAGAAAAAAAAACACAAAAGAGGATAGAGCTACTGGAACTTGCTGCCGCTCCTTTGTCACATCAGTTTTACTGATGTCATTGCATCCTTCTTCCTTCATCAGACAGAGATGGATAAAGTTCACAAAGTGCGACTGGGAGTTGGGAATGGGCTGCGGCCGGATGTCTGGCGGGAGTTCCACAGGCGTTTTGGTGACATCAAAATGTGTGAGGTGTACGGCTCCACTGAGGGAAACCTGTGTCTCATGAACCATTTTGGCAAGATTGGGACTGTGGGCCGCTCCAGTTTTTTTAACAAGGTGAGTGCTTGGTAGTTGGCAGTTGTCAGTGCTTGGTTTACAATAATAATTGTAAACAGAACGACAATCCTCAGTGCAATACCTGTAAATATATGTTTGTATAGCTCTATCTGGAAAACTGCATCTGAACTCTGTGTATACATATTTCTATATTTATCAGTTTTTTTTTATTTTCCTAATGCACATTCTGTTTTTCTTGTTTGCACAGTCCTTTTCTTTTTTGCTTTCTCAGTCTATTTTATTTTCTTGTGATTACAGTACATCTAAACAACAACACAATTCCTTTTTTATCAGATCACCCAAAGTGTAAGTGACCAAAACTTGTTTCTTGTTACCCAGGTGTGTCCTGTCAGATAGATTATTTAAACAGCAAATAGTTCTAAACCACTACTATTAGTTCAAGCCTTGGGCTTTACTGGAGAAGACTGCATTTGTTGTTAAAAGGATTCAAGTAAGGTGAAGACCAGAGAGCTGTCTGTGGGAGAAAAGTAAGCAAAACTGAAATGCTGCCGCTCCTTTGTCACATCAGTTTTACTGATGTCATTGCATCCTTCTTCCTTCATCAGACAGAGATGGATAAAGTTCACAAAGTGCGACTGGGAGTTGGGAATGGGCTGCGGCCGGATGTCTGGCGGGAGTTCCACAGGCGTTTTGGTGACATCAAAATGTGTGAGGTGTACGGCTCCACTGAGGGAAACCTGTGTCTCATGAACCATTTTGGCAAGATTGGGACTGTGGGCCGCTCCAGTTTTTTTAACAAGGTGAGTGCTTGGTAGTTGGCAGTTGTCAGTGCTTGGTTTACAATAATAATTGTAAACAGAACGACAATCCTCAGTGCAATACCTGTAAATATATGTTTGTATAGCTCTATCTGGAAAACTGCATCTGAACTCTGTGTATACATATTTCTATATTTATCAGTTTTTTTTTATTTTCCTAATGCACATTCTGTTTTTCTTGTTTGCACAGTCCTTTTCTTTTTTGCTTTCTCAGTCTATTTTATTTTCTTGTGATTACAGTACATCTAAACAACACAATTCCTTTTTTATCAGATCACCCAAAGTGTAAGTGACCAAAACTTGTTTCTTGTTACCCAGGTGTGTCCTGTCAGATAGATTATTTAAACAGCAAATAGTTCTAAACCACTACTATTAGTTCAAGCCTTGGGCTTTATCGGAGAAGACTGCATTTGTTGTTAAAAGGATTCAAGTAAGGTGAAGACCAGAGAGCTGTCTGTGGGAGGAAAAGTAAGCAAAACTGAAACTGAATCTGAGAAAAGGGGTCAAATCAGTCATTGCAGAAACATTGGGAATCTGAGAAAAGGGGTAAAATCAGTCATTGCAGAAACATTGGGAATAGCCAGTACAGCAATTTGTAATGTCCTGTAAAAGACAAACCACTGACCATACAACATACACAGAATGGGTCTGCTAAGGAAAACAACAACAGCTGACGGCAGAAGCACTGTGGGAGCTGTAAAGAAGAACCCAAAACATTAGATAGTGACATCACCAACAATCTCCACAAAAGTGATATAAGGAGCCGTACTGTGAGATGCAAACCCCTCATCAGCAATAAGAATGTTTTCAGTTTACAGGAAACACAAATGAACTGGCTTTTTTATCTGGATAATTTTGGAGGGGACTCTGTGTGAACCTTTCCTTTAAGTGGTCAACACTGAATATAACACAATAGAGATGTTTACCTTGTTTACTTCGTGCTCAATATTACAATTACAGTAAACTGCAATACAACACAGTACAAACATCTTTAAATATAATCAATACATTATAAGTCAAGTCAAATTTCATTTATAGAGTCCAGTATCAAAAGTGACAAATTTCCTTCAATGGGCTTTATAGTCTGTACAGTGTAAGACACCCTCTATTCTTAGATCCTCAAATGGGATGAGGAAAAACAAAAAACAAGAATAGATCAACAACATATTTACAGCATGGACAATCAGGATGACACAATTGTGTGCTGTAAACATACAGTATATGAAGAACATGATCTGGGAGGACAAGAAACTTCCTGGTGCCTCCAACTGCCACGTGACCTTCCCTCCAGACAAAGGCCTAGTAGAAGGACAGACTACACAGATGAGATGTAAAACACAAACACATCATTCACACACAGAGGGGAAGGAAACAAACACACATTAGGAAACATTAGGATAAAGGTGAATGAAGTTGTAATTAATGTCTTGAATAAAGGCTTGGGTAGCACGGTGGCACAGTGGTTAGCGCCGTTGCCTCACAGCGAGAAGGTTCCGGGTTCGGGCCCCACCTGGGACCTTTCTGTGTGGAGTTTGCATGTTCTCCCCGTGCTTGCGTGGGTTCTCTCCGGGTACTCCGGCTTCCTCCCACTGACCAAAGACATGCCATGATCTGGGAGGACAAGAAACTTCCTGGTGCCTCCAACTGCCACGTGACCTTCCCTCCAGACAAAGGCCTAGTAGAAGGACAGACTACACAGATGAGATGTAAAACACAAACACATCATTCACACACAGAGGGGAAGGAAACAAACACACATTAGGAAACATTAGGATAAAGGTGAATGAAGTTGTAATTAATGTCTTGAAGAAAGGCTTATGTTCCAATTAGTATTTCAGGTCCAGGGTCCTTAGTTGTCCCTGCTGGTACATCAAGAGGGAGCAGTGGGATCATTCGTGGCATTAGTTCCATTTGTTCTTTTTTTTGCTATGACAGGTCAAAATGTCTGCAGTGAAGAATATTGACTGTTGAACCTAATGATAATATCTGGGTGATTGTTCTGTTAATTAGTATAGATTTTTTAATGCTTCTAACCTTTTAATTATTCTTTCTTTTACCTTTTGGTGTAGCTCCTGTTCAGTTTTGATCTGGTAAAGTATGACACAGAAAAAGATGAACCAGTGCGAGATCAGTATGGTTTCTGTCAGAGAGTTAAAAGGGGTAAGAGTGAAAAACTCCTAAATGTTTCCATAAATGAAAGGGGTTTTTTTTTTTTTTGAATCAGTTGGTGTTTGAAAATGATTTCTTCTGAAAGTGTCTAAACTGATTTGAGACTCTGTCCTATTGTTGTTCTTAGGTGAGACCGGGCTTTTACTGTCCAAGGTGAGCACCTCTAACCCCTTCTTTGGTTATGCTGGAAGCAAGCAGCTGACGGAGAAAAAGCTGACGAGAAATGTGTTCAGGAAGGGAGATGCCTACTTTAACACTGGGGATCTCATGGCAGAAGACCAGGAGAGCTTCATGTATTTCAGAGATAGAATGGGAGACACCTTCAGGTACAGTGGGATAAGAAATTTGAGATGTCTTTACTGCAGGTACAAGCCATACACTACGACCTTTAAAGCAGCCATCCCTGTGATGATGTTTGGCCTGTTGATGTCCTCAGGCAACACAGAAAGCCTGCAATACGTACGAGACGTACATAGTTTGAGAAATGTGGACATTTACTGAGCAAGGAAGGTGTAACAGAGATGATATGGAGAGCCAAAGTCACCTTCTTTCATCTTTCTTTTGTGTGTAGGGTTTACAGTTTTCTAACACAAATATGCATCTGCTACCTCACTTGCTCTTAAAGGTTCATGATAAATTAAAGGAACAATATGTAAAATATGTACTGTATTAAATCAAGTGTTGTAGTACTCAAGTCCAGGACTTGCACTGGAGTCCACATTTTCAGCACCCATGGCTCAGCCAGAGGTGTAGTGCTATTTGATGTAGCGCCTATGCCACTCGTACGTGCACATAAGTGGTTAAGTTGTAGCCTGTTTTGGGGGCCAGGTAAACACTTTTCTGGCTACGTGGCGACTGTAATTGCCCACGCCATCAAATGTTAGACTGACTTTATTGTCTGGTGTAGCTGAATAACAGTGTGAATAAGGAGACATTTGTCACAGGGTGAATGTTATAGCCATAACTGAGATGTAATTTCCACGGGGGGACAGGCTCCACCCAAAATATGAACATTAATTGTGCATTAGTTTGTGTAGAGAAAGAACAGCAGCAGGGAGAGCACAGATCCCTGAGGGGCGCCTGTGCTGATAGTCCAGGTGCTAAATGTGGTTTTCCCCAGCTTCACCTGCTGTTCACCTTTTATTTGAAATCACACCTTCCACTACTGAAATGCTCCTTGATTTCTCTGGTTTCACCTTCCTTCTAGCCCACTTTAAGTTAACATTCAGCTTGTCCAATAGTCTTTTGGTACATGGTGCTGTCGGGGTGATAGTTGTCATGTCATCCATGTATGCTCTTATGGGTGGTAACTGTTGTCCTGATGGAAGCCTCATTCCTCCTGCTACCCATCTGATGCCCTAATAATAACCTCCATTTACTCCAGTACAGTGTCTCTAAATGTGCTTTCATAGGTGACAAGAAAACATATGTGCACTCAAATAAGAATTAAAAAAAGAATTAGGGTAAAAAAGGAAGAGACAGAAAAACAACTTTTTAATTTGTCACTTTCGGCTTTTCCCATTTAGGGGTCGCCACAGCGAATCGTCACACTGATGACTTGCATGTTGACATTTGGCACGTGTTTTACGCTGGATGCCCTTCCTGACGCAACCCTGACTCAAACCCGGGGCGCAGCGGCGAGAGCACTGCGCCTTAACCACTAGCCTACCAGGGACATGTATATAGATATAGATATATACAGTATTGTTCAAAATAATAGCAGTACAATGTGACTAACCAGAATAATCCAGGTTTTTAGTATATTTTTTATTGCAACATGGCAAACAAGTTACCAGTAGGTGCAGTAGATTCTCAGAAAGCAAACAAGACCCAGCATTCATGATATGCACGCTCTTAAGGCTGTGCAATTGGGCAATTAGTTGAAAGGGGTGTGTTCAAAAAAATAGCAGTGTGGCATTCAATCAGTGAGGTCATCAATTTTGTGAAATAACAGGTGTGAATCAGGTGGCCCCTATTTAAGGATGAAGCGAGCACTTGTTGAACATGCATTTGAAAGCCTGAGGAAAATGGGTCGTTCAAGACATTGTTCAGAAGAACAGCGTACTTTGATTAAAAAGTTGATTGGAGAGGGGAAAACCTATAAAGAGGTGCAAAAAATGATAGGCTGTTCAGCTAAAATGATCTCCAATGCCTTAAAATGGAGAGCAAAACCAGAGAGACGTGGAAGAAAACGGAAGACAACCATCAAAATGGATCGAAGAATAACCAGAATGGCAAAGGCCCAGCCAATGATCAAAGACAGTCTGGAGTTACCTGCAAGTACTGTAACAGTTAGAAAATGTCTGTGTGAAGCTAATCTATTTTCAAGAATCCCCCGCAAAGTCCCTCTGTTAATAAGTCATAAATCAATGTTCATATGCGGTGACTTCAATATAGATCTGTTAAATCCAAACAAGCACACAGGAACTGAGGAGTTTATTAACACATTATACAGATGTAGTCTATATCCAAAGATTACAAAACCAAGTAGAGTAACAACTCAGCATGCTACAGTAATAGATAATATATTTACCAATGTTATTGACAGCAAAATAACAAGTGGACTACTTATAAATGATATTAGTGATCACCTACCAATATTTGTGGTTTATGAGGGCCAGTATAGAAAAGAGAGGCCAAAAACAAATTTTTTCTATAGGAGGGAGATGAATGAACATGCTTTAAGGAGGCTAAAAGAGGATTTTATGGGGCAAAACTGGGAATCAGTTTACAGAGAGGAAGACTTAGATAATGCATATGAGAACTTTTTAAACATATTTAAGACTGTATATGACAGGAACTGTCCTCGTAAGCGGTATAAAAATAAAAAGAATTACAGTGAGAGACCGTGGATGAGCAAGGGATTACAGAATGCATGCAAAAAGAAGAATGTGTTATATAAACAGTTCATTAAGGACCCAATTGCACAGCCTTAAGAGCGTGCATATCATGAATGCTGGGTCTTGTTTGCTTTCTGAGAATCTACTGCACCTACTGGTAACTTGTTTGCCATGTAGCAATAAAAAATATACTAAAAACCTGGATTATTCTGGTTAGTCACATTGTACTGCTATTATTTTGAACAATACTGTATATAGATATATATAGATATATATCTATATATATGTACAGTATGAAAGAGGATCTTTGGATAAATAAATACAGTGGTTATATTTACAAGTTATTGCACTGGGGGCTGTGATGGCATGAGGGAACTTACTGTCCTTGTGTCTGGTTGTTTTGGTGTACAGTGACCTGTAGCGCCGTCCAGAGGAAGAATTCAAACTGTCTGTGTCCAGGGTGTGAGGGGTCTGCAGTAGTGTAGACCCAGACTCTGAAAATGTAAAAGGAAAACACGTATTCTTGTTATTTACCTTGAGATTAAGAAGTTAAATATAGCTTGTAATTGTTTGTGGATAGAAACGGGGATCACAGGTTCTGTCTCTGGTAATTGAAAGACTGAAACCAGTTTGAACTAATTCTTTATTTAGCTCATGAGGGCAGATGTGGCCTAATCCATTATTATCAAAAGCATGTTTTACATAGTCTGGCCACTAGGGGGATTATAAGACCACAAATATACAGGGCTTTATCCCTGAGCTGCATGAATTCAATCCAGTTTAAGCAAAGTGGCTAAAAAACTATGCTGCAGTTTTCTGTTTATGGTCAAACTAAATGTTTTGTAGATGGATTAAATGGCACAGACCTCAGTTTTCTGAGTGAAGTTCAAATATCCAAGTGCAGTTATGGAAAACTTATTTTTGAATGAAGGGGGCCTGGTTGGTCTTAAGGCAGATGTGCTTATAATGAAGTAATCCATATGACACACACTTTTCTCACTTCCTCACACCTAGACAATGACTCTGTAAAATGGGTGTGAATGTCGGACTGTCAGTTTTTTCTAACTCTTTTTTTTTTTTTAACTCTTACTTTTGTACTGGTGGAGTTTGACATTCCCCGTCATGGATTTAAATTTTGTACTGCTCCACAAGGGAATCACAGGAAATACACATCCACCATGAACTGGATGTGATGTGGAAGACAGAAGCTGGTGCCATGTTCATGAGTTCAGTATTAGCATGTAAAAAAAACTAAGCAAAGAAAAATATACAGACATGATGGTCAAAGGAAAAGGAATAATGATTAGACACTTGATGAAAATGGAACACAAGCAAGTATGAAGGCAGGCTCTGCATTACCACAGCAGGTCAGAGACTGGTCTGACACTATGCCTTGAATGTAATGCTAAACCTACTAGACTTACAGCGTTTAGCACTTTAATTGAAATCGGTGTGTCTCCCCTGATTTCAGGTGGAAGGGTGAAAATGTAGCAACGACGGAGGTAGCGGAGACTCTTGCGCCGGTGGATTTCATTCAAGAAGTCAATGTATATGGAGTGGAAGTCCCAGGTATGTTTAATATGTTTGTGTTTGCATGTCTGCCTCTTATCTCAATACTTCATCACAAAATTACAAAGCCTTTGAAAACGTAACAGTGTAAATGTTTTCAGAATATTCCCTGATAATGTGCCACATACACTAGCTTTATTATTGCAGTCATTTGCAGCTAAGTGAGTCCATTTGGCTTCTAGTACCTAGTGGTTCTAGCAACTCTTAGCTGTGATTGATGACTGTAGTTACACTGAACCATGTTGTCAACAGGACATGAGGGCAGAGCACAGGGCAGGAATGTCTGCCATGACTTTAAGACCAGGTCTTACGTTTGATGGGAAGAAGCTGCATGAGTTTGTGATGAGGGATCTACCAGCGTACGCTCGTCCACTGTTCATAAGACTTCAGGTAATAATGGAGACATCTGATCAGACTTTGTTCTGGGGCTCGGGTTGGAGAGGTTTTCCAGTGATGTAAAGGATGATTGTTTTATTCTCCTGGCCAAATGACAGTGTGTAGAGTATGACACAGATCCCCAAATTGCCCCTAGTGTGTGTGTGTGTGTGTGTGTGTGTGTGTGAATCAGAGACTTTGAAAAGTCTCTTGCTTTACTGAGGTTAAATATTACTATAGACATGTGGTCCGTTAACCACTTAGCTGTGTTTCAGCGGACATAAGTCAGAGTAGCTAATGGAAGTTCTAAAATTTGGGTAAAATTTTCCTTTAAAGCAAATCCCTCCCAGAGACTGTGTGCTGACCTGGGCCAGGTGTCATGTTCACAAAATATACTTAGGCTAAAAATAGCTCATGTTGACCAACTTAGGAGGAACTCTGTATTCTCGTTCGTCACGCTGGTTCTCCGTCAGGGGGAACGTCTGATTGGTCCCAGATTCATTGTGCACATGGCATCTCACCCGAAAATCATGAAGTCAGTCTGGGATTACATGAAAAGAAGAAAAGAACACAAGACATTTAGCCTAAATCCACAGAGGAATGTGGCAAATTGAAAAAATCTGTGAAGTATACCAAAGAGAATCAGTGTTGTATTAAAGATAATATTGATTTGATTGAACTTTTTATTTTTATTTTTTTCTGTTGTTTTTTGCAGTGTGTTTGAAGTTAATTGATAAATAAACACTAGATGTTGATAGCATCATCACATAACAGCATTTTGTTCACAAATGCCTAAATCTTTTGCACAGTCCTGCATTTTAATATTTCGGGTGTTCAGAGGAGAAGCATCCCTCCTTCTGTTGTATTACTAAAACTTGTCCCAGCTCCACCTGGTGATCCTCTGTTCCTCCTACTAATAATATATTCAGCCTCTTCCACATTGCTCTGCTTTAAATTCTACCTTAAAATTACACTGATTGTTGTTGTTGTTGTTGTTGTTTTCCCTCAGGAGGCCTTAGAAATGACAAGTACTTTCAAGCAGCAGAAGTTCAAGCTAGTGCAGAGCGGCTTCAACCCCTCAGCAATCTCTGATCCTCTCTATGTGTTGGACTACCTGCAGAAAAGCTATGTTCCTCTAACAGATAGTATCTATCAGCGCATCCTTGCTGGAGAACACAGGCTGTAGAACTCACAAATATGGATGTGACTAAAACCTATGAGTCTGCAATCAAGTTGAATGCTTTTCTGAGCTCTGAATGAAAATACCTCATTCAAATAGTGAACCAGAGGCTCATGGTGAGTTGAACAGTTACTGGTTATTGTTGTTAAATAAAGTGTCAGCTCAATATAAATACGTATAAAATTTGAGGGTTTTTTTTAGGGATTATTTTAGTGAATTCTCTACGGTTGAGGGGGTCTGGAGAGGATAAAAGTGCCTGAAAATGACAATGTCAGGAAAGATATCACTCAGTTTACACTTGAATGTAAAAAGAAAGACCCTTTAAAATGGTTTCATGTTATTTGGTCAACAGTTCCTTAAACTGTGTAGATTAGCCCTTTAAAATAACTTAATATATTGCAGTCCGTCAAATTTCATTACAGCCATTTGTGCTTGTGAACCTTTCCCACTTCAGAATGGTGTGTTTACCATTCAGCAAGATGTCCATTAACATTCAAGGTTTTAATTGGTCTGTGGTAGATGCTGGATCAGCTGGGATTCAAATGCCATTAAGCTTGATTCTTCCACCAACCTCAGAGCTTTTCATGTATTTACAAAATTGTTTGTGTTACTTCAAGTTAGTACTTTATCTGCTGTTCTAAGAAACCTGGTGTATAAATCTGTCGCTTGAATAGTTCTGAAAACCACATTGTTTTACTGTTGACTAACACTGCATACAGTGACATGTGATATACATCAGTACTCTGGAAACACTGGTATACTTGCCTCTTAAAGGGATAATACTGTACTGGTTGTAGTTTTGTGGTGGTTTTTATTGCTTTTATTGTTTTTTTATTGTTCAGAATTTGGCCCTTGTGTCTGCAATAAAGTTTCTATCTAATCAGGCTTCACAGCAGCTGAGCCTGACAGAGCTATTGTTACCCATTGGTCTGAGCTGTGGGAGCATCATATACACCTGATGTTGTATTGTGAACCAGTTTCAGATGGTTCAGTTCACCTCTATGATCAGGACACCAAGATGTACTGTCTACATGTAACATGATGACTGTGGTCTATTAAAATGTAGGTCTTATTTTATATTGTTGACTGTCATTCCTGTGAGCAGTAATACAAATTCACCAAGTTCATTTCTCAGAATTCACTAAAAACAAGTGTCAAGAAACCTGAACAGTCAGAGGATCAGACAGACTGTGAACAAACCAACAGGTTAGAAACAACAAAGGTGAATGACGAAATGATTAGTCTGTTGTAAACATCCACCACAGTCTACAGGCCCATTACCTGCTTTGTCTTTACCCTAGTGTACTCACTGTAGTTCCGTCAGCCAACTCGCATGCAATAAATTATTATGTGATTATTATGGACAATTTGTACAGTGCTGGTGTCTAGGCTACGACTGCTTCACTCCCTACATGGAAACCGCAAGCTCAACATAACAGTGAGTGAGAATAGTAACGTCCCCAAGGCGATGTAGACTCAGAGCCTACATGTGGATGCTGGGTAAAGGTGGGGCTTTTAAACTGCTGTATAAACAGCAGCAGGAGAAGTGACAGCCTGGCTTTCAGGTGAGGAGCTTAAGTACACCAGCATGATCAAAAAGGATATATGTTGCAGCGGGATGTGTATGCCATGTACAGTACTACTACAGTACCATGTATGCAGTACAGTGAAATGTTTTGGCATTTTAGCATAATAACGATGTTCATCTTTAACCATTATTCTAGGTTTGCAGGGACTGCTCAGCTAGTTCTATCAGAATTTTTAAAAATTACTTTTGAACATTCAATATCTCCAAAGAAGTTCAAACGTGGCAACCTGACAATGCCTTCGGTGAACATTTTAACATTTCTGTGTCTGTCCAGGAGATCAATCCAATTTGGCACCTGACTCTAGATAAGACAGCAACAAGTATTATCTGAAAAGGTCAGACTGATTCAACATCAATTGGAAGCATTCTCCTTATCAGGAGGACTAATGCCCTGATGGATATTGGGTTTGTTGATGAGGAGGGCAGGCTGTTTGGGCAGAATGACTAGATTGTCATGCTATTTTTCAGTCATGCATACTAAATTGAAATAATTGAAACTGCTGGGAAATAGAGCTGTCCTGGCAGACTCCAGATATTCTGTGGTAATAATTTAAATATTTTTGTCTATTGTAAGATGTAATCCATATACTTATTAAGAATTTCAGAATATACTCATTTTTGGCAGGTTGTATCGTGGAGTAACAGAATTGGAGTTGAATACACACCAGGTCTTTGGTTTTCTTGGACAACTGATATTTCCTCTGAGGACTACTAGTGTCACAATGGGTTTAGGTTTGATGCACTTCGATGTTTTTTCATGCCCAGTGCTGTAACATGTTTTTATTTTCTCTAATTTTATGATCATCTAATTAAATTTAGGGCTCTATTTTCCTACAATAAGGCGCAGCGCTAAACTCGTGTCTAAACTCCAGGCGCAAGGCGCATATGGGCATGTTGAACGGTGTAGCAGTTTTGGTGACCACAGACGCAGCGCAGTGTAGTACTGTATGTCCAGTCCTCTCGTCCCCTTTAAATAACAGAGTGGAAGCCTGACTGACTGATAACACCGATGTCAGGACATGGAAACAGTTCCCTGTGTCTTCTTCTCCTGCCAGTTATGTACTCCATTCCTAAACGGACAGTGACTAAACTATTTAGGTAGAAGTACTGCACATACATATTCACCCACCAGCTTCTCTGTGTGGTAGAAAGCCAGTGTCTGATCCTGTGACCAATAGCATAATTTACTGCATCCAGTGTGTGAAAATCACGGGCTTCTCACATGTAACCTTATAAACATTTGGCTGTATTTAACATAATACAATACAATCATATTGTAATCTCTGTGTTTGTGGTGAAACTGTCTGCGGTCCACCAGAGCGCACAGCCAGTGGATGTGTCGCCCACTTTATCTCCACTTCCAGCTGCTTTCAAAGCTGATCAAACTGCCATAAAACGCATAAACAGACACAGCATATATCCCCGTGGTAGTAACGAAGTTACGTCTATGTGAAACTTGTTCGTCTGAAGAAACTAACAACTTAACAGCGACAGCGGCCCCAGTGAGGCCTATTTTACCTGCTGCGTAACAGGATTAATGGAGACGTCTGCATGGTGTTTGTTGTTTATCTTGGCTCATGAGCTGCTTTCATGTGTTATTATGTGTAATTATTTACGTGGATTCCCTAACACCGGCTGCAGGCCACCTCTGGCTGAGTCTTGGTGACACTTGTTAGTACTAGCACAAGGAGTCAGTTTATTTTTTCTTATTTAAAAATCATCTTCATGATACGCAGTAAATTACTCAGTGTGAATTCCAGCAGATCAGTTGTGGATTTAAGGGTTAATTTTAAGTGGCTTTGGCCATTAAAATACATTAATGTACCTGATCTCGTGATTCCCAGCCTATGTTCTTGTCAGGAAAATTGCAAATACACCTTCAAATGCATAAGAGATGGTCAGGGGTTGTTTTTATCGCTATTTCTGGTCAACACGAGCACCAAAACTGCACTGCGCTGCCTAACTAGCACACACACGGCCTCAACTGCGCCTCTTCTTCCACCTCAGTATGAGCGCGTTCATTTATGACAGGAAAATACCAAACACACCAATACGCAACAACAAGTAGACGTGTGCCCGAGGAAAACTGCATAACGACTGTGAATGAGGCGACGCAGAAATTGCGCTGGCGGGAAAATTGAGCCCTTAGTCTCTGGTGAACAAAAATGGTTCAAGAAATACAATAAATATTGGTCCTGTCAATATACAGTATCAGTGGATTTCATTTTAAACGTGTTACTTTCAGAGAGCCAATGTATAGGATGTGAACATTCTGACTCCTTGTGCTAGTACCAATAAAGATACTGTTACTGACTCCATACCAGTATCAAATACTTACCACAGAATCCAGCACAGTAAAACTGCCAATAAGAAGTTTAATTATTAATTCTAAAATCTAAATTTTCATCAGCTAAAGTGTCTGCAACAATAGCGGAATATTTTAAAACATGCTTTATCACATAAAATCTTCACAAACTGTTTTTAATAAAAGGATAAAGTTGAAACAAATATTAAAACAATTCTTTTTCCCATCAGTGAGCAAAAGAAAGAAAAATACAGATTAAAACCAAAACTTATTTATGGTTACTGAGATGGTGCTGATGGTGATGTAAGGAACATCACCATCAGCACCACCATGAAGACCTCAGGGGAATTGTATAGTGCCAATTCAGCACAGTATACTCAACAGGCCACCTGGCACTTTGTACAGTAAACCATTTATAAAATAGGAAAAGTTCCTCATTTGAAGTTTGTGGAGTCTGTGACACTGCTATTTGGAACTCATAATATCCAAATAACATAGATTTTAAAGGTTCTTAAACACTGTTTTGGTCAATGCGTTTCAACTCAAAAACATTATTATTTGTAGAAATAAATGCATTATCATGTGTTTAGAGGGACTGAGAGCAGCAAAGGATGGAGTGAGTATAAGTCACAGTAAGAATCTGCTAAAGAGAGCAGCATTAACTGGATTATCAGTCTTCCTGGCTAATGAGCAGGAGTAATCATCTGGGGGGGAGGTATGACCTTCCACATTGCTGTGAAAAGATCTAGCCTCTCACAGGGTGATTGTCAGCATGGCACACTGCTGCAATATGGGCAGCCAGCAAGAGCGCGCTATGAAACATAAGCCCTGATGGAGAATGTCATAGAACAGCATGAGCTCTACTTCTGCATTCTTATGTCCTACTTGTGTGTTGTTTGAGCAGGTGAAAATGTTTTCTTTGCAGTCCAGCTTCCCACATGTCTCTTTAAACAGCACTGGACATGGTGATGTTGTTAGGTCTGTCTCTGTTCTCCTGTCACATACATACATATGTTCACACTTACTGTACATTCACATATTTTGCAGTATCTCCTACAGACATAAAATTCTACTCTTAGAATATGCCCACATTTGTTCTTTCAGTTGTCGCTGTTGTTCAAAAGCCACATGATGTTAATTCCAGTTTTATCAGCTGACACTCCACCCTAATGAGAACTATTTTGAAAAAAACAGGTCCTCTCCTCTGTTAATTAGTTCATTTGCATGTGCCAGCTGAACTTACTCATCTGTTTTCCATCTGTCTGTGTCCTTTAACTTTTAAATAGAAAACAGATAAGGGGAGGAGGAATGGATAAAATGAATTGAAAATGAATAAACTGTTATGGAACACAAAAATAGACATTGTTTGGACACACATTAATAGTAAAACTAAACAAGTGTCCTTTTTTTTCGGAGAAGTATTATCTTTTGTCCATGGGTCACTGGTGTTCTCTGTGCTGGTGGTGTATGTTGAATCTGTCCATTATCAGTACCAGCAGTATCAAAAGAGCACAGTGTGTCAGTGTGACGACTCAAAGTGTTTTCACCAAAACAGCTCTGGCTTTTCAAGTGGCTCATGAACTGCCGTTCCAGTTATCTGGCCAATGTTTGGTGTGAGGACATCATCACAGCAGTGGCATAGAGGAGCCTTAAAAAGAAAAACAGTGAGAGACTATTTCTGATGTCACTGTAGTTATAAATGCATACAGCGGTTCCATCACTGTTTTTCATTATTTCTTTTGATCTTAATAAAATGAGTAAAATAATAAAACTGATACATTTGAAACTTGCTTTGGGAGAACTGTGTTTATACACACACATACACAGAGAGAGAGAGAGAAAATCAATGTAACATGATCGTGACTTTAGCCTACCTGTCATTTTTAAAACCGACTGGAAGAACCTAAACAGAATAAATGAATATGACAACCAATACTTTATCAACTGATGTACCAGAAAAGAAAACAGGGTCCAGCAGTGTCTTATTCTGTCATTAATAAAGAAGCCTTGCAGATCAGTTACTGTTAGGCACAGTGCAACAGTTAAATCAAGTTCTGAGATGTTTTAAACAGGGATCCTCTGGGTCACCCTCCCTCACATCCTTTACAAAAGTCTTCTGAGTGAACACAGTTGTCACGGTATGGTATATTTGGTTTTATCTGATTACTGGCCTTATAGGATTGGTGTAATCATTAGGTCAGTGAAGGTGGGACCACTAAATCTTAATTTTTCAAGATAATATAATGAGACAGTTGATAAAAATTTAAACTAGCTAACAATCAAGTGAAAAAAAGATTTGTATGTTTAAAAAAGTAATATACTGGTAAGATACTGGAAATTATATCACCGTATCACTTATTGTGTTAAGTAGCCTTAAACTGTCTGCTTTAAACTGTTTCATGGTGCTAACATGACATATCGTAACCCATGTCTGTATTGAAGCATTACAGATATAACAGCTCAGACAATTAGTTCTTGTGTGTATAGGTACCAGAAGAGTACACTGAAAAGACAGACCTGGACAGTAGCAGTGAGGAGAAAGGACTCTGAGCCCAGTGACTGCTCTGCTGTCTGCAGCTGTCATCAGAAGCCTGGACAGACACTGTGTTTGAAGGAAGGAGTGATCTCATTAGTTTTAACATTTGCAGACCATGTGTGCACAGTCAGTGCCACTGGTAAATTCTTTCTATAGGCTATAGATGCACCTCTGTGTCATTTCTTGATGCAGTTACACACAACTGTAAGACTTGTTTATTAGAACTGTTAAACTGCAACACTGCACAAACCTTCCAATAATATAAATATTCTACATAAATAAAGTAAAATAAAATATGAACATTTCACTTGAAATGTAATTAAGAGAACTGTATAGCCTGACAAAATATGTATTTCATTCATTCATTTTCTACTGCTTAGTCCCAAAATATGTAATTAATCTTTTAATTTTAGTGTTTGTTGTAATTATGTATTATAGAAGCCCTCACAATACAAAGGGGTGATAGGATCATTACCTTTTAATAATTACTGTGAATGTTGTATATTGTATAAATATTTTGTTACAATCTGCAAAAGATGGTCTTTTGATATGAAAATTTTCATTTGCAATTTTAATATTACAAAACATCCTGCAGCATAACTACAACTTCGGGGCTTTAAAAAAAAACTAAACAGCTGGAAAACTGGCTTTAAATTCAGCGAGTTATGATGATTTTAGTGTGGATAGATCCCCTGTCCTCATACACAGACGCATTAGGAGGCGCAGCTTCGCCCCTTGGAACATGGCGGCCGGTGTGACGTGAATAGACAGAAGTGGCTCATGCGGCATCTAGTGTATATACCTGTGCATAGCAGTCAGACAGCGTCACCATTACTGTTTGAGTATTCTGATTTCTTCTCGCGACATTTAATATCACCTGAAAAAAAGAATAAACGTGATTGATTACATCTCGCGAGGTCCCCCTCAGTCGGAGCCCAGCCTTCAGTGTTGCCGACTGCAGTGTATTTATTAGCAGGGAGGGAAGCTGCGGGAGTGTAGGGGCAGCTGCGGCAAGGTCGGGAACAGCATCCTACTCTGAAGAGCAGAAGAACCTAGTGGTAGACGCGAGTTAGTCTAGTGGCGTCCAGCGAACGGAAGCGCCCGGTGGAGTTTTGGAGTTATTGGCTCAGAAGAGGAAGAAGGAGGAGAGTGGCCGAAAGTTTCCAGTTTATAGCCTCATGTTCCGAGTTAGCTAGCGAGCTATCCTTCAGCACAACCACTCTCCACTCGTAGGCTTGCGTCTTTTCGTGGCAGGCAGAGCATCGTGTTCTGTCCTGTAAATAGGAAGCCAGTGTCACGGGGTAGGCTCCTGGGCTCTCACACTTCCTCCAGTTAGTTTTGCGGGCCATAACTTGTCTTTTCCCGTACGCTTTTCTAGTCCTTTTGTATTAGTTGTGTCATGTCAGCTCCTTCCTCCGCGCCTTCCGCTCCAGCAAAAAACGCCGTGACAGAAAATGATTTTCTCGCCCCTGATGCGGGACAGAGGCCGCTCGGTCCGACCCCCAGCCAGAGCCGGTTCCAGGTGGACCTTGTGGCTGAGGCAGCTGGCGCCACCGAAGACAAGTCCCCAGACTCAGACTCTTCCACTACGATTCCATCTAGCGATAAGGCCATGGTCGCTGCTCCCCCAGACTGCCCAGGTGTTGATCCAGGGACCGGCGGAGAGGAAGCCAAAGGACGGTTTCGGGTGGTAAATTTCGCGGATCCGACCGGTGCAGGGAGCGCGGCCTCTCCTGAGGTCGAGGGACTGCAGAATGGGGACACGGTGATGAGCGAGACCAGCTTGCATTCATCCACAGGCGGCCAGCATCACTATCACTACGATACCCACACCAACACTTATTACCTGAGGACTTTTGGTCACAACACCATCGATGCCGTACCAAACATCGATTTCTACCGGCAGACAGCAGCGCCACTGGGGGAGAAACTAGTCAGACCTACACTGTCGGAGTTGCACGACGAGCTGGACAAGGTAAGTCGCTACATGAGGATGTGAGGACTCAGAGATAGGCAGGTCTACCGCTCATATTATTTAGGCAGAAATAGGCTCAAAACGCTAATAATGCAGAGAACGGGCAAGTCAGGTGCGGGCATCTTCAAATCATTAGAAAGGGCATTTCCCCCAGAAAATGCATGTGGATGCTGTCTGATGAAAAAATTGCCTCAGCACTAGTGATGGCTGAAATTTATTGCTGAAACCGCTGAAGGCTGAGATGGAATGCTGAAAAATTCTAGTGAAAAATAACACTGGGGATGGAAGCTTAAGTTTATTATTTAAAGAAGCTGAGAGTTTAAAAGCATCACTAAAATAGTGGAAGTTCCAAAGTGACATGTAGAAATAAAATGACTTAAAGTTGTAAAAGGACTGGAATAATAGTCAAAATAAGGTGTAACCTGAATTTTGAGGGCTGGGGTGGGGGTATGTTTTCTAGTGTTTGCTTTGCACTGTATACATGTTTAAAATTTTCATTGAGTAAAAACAAAAGCATAATATTACAACTGATGGAGTAAAACCAAAAACTTAATTTTCATTTATTTATGGCACATTTGCTACGACACATTACTTAATCGATACATTTAAAATACAAGATATATGCTATCTAGAAAGCAATTGTCATAAAACCACACTGTTGTCACTATATTTGCATGTTAATTGTGGGGTGGTGCTACAGTGAGTGTCCCTTCCCCTTGTAACAGTCCAAAGTGGCAGCTGCTGCTGCTAGAAGTGGTATCTGGCAGTGGAGGGGGAGTGGCATGCTGCTTCAGAATCGGCATGTGCCACTAGGGAGAAGTGGCATGCCATATGCCACTTTCCGAACTTGACGTCTCTCCCTCCAAGGTCACCGCAAACCTGTATGAGTGCTTTGTTTATGTTGTTGTTGTTTTTCTAAGCATTTACAGATTAAAGTTTTAAGATGGAACCTATGGCAGAGGGGAGGGTAACGTCTTTTGAAAATGAAAACTTTGTAGTATGCTGTGAAAACTTTGACCGATCAGATGGTCTTTTTTTTTTCCTCTTTTGAAATTTCCTATATATTTGACTTATCCTCATTTGTTGCCACACTACATGGTCAGAGGTATGTGGATGCCTAACCATTAGCTCTATGTTTTATAGTGAAATGTGATTCAGACACCATTTGCATTTACATGCTGCAGTAACAACCTTCACTCTCCTCAGAAGGTTTTCCACCAGAAAAATAACCTGGCTGCTCTCTCTTTAGACACAAGAGTACTATTGATGTAAGACACCTGGTGGTAAGGTCTGTGTCACAGTTCATTCCAAAGATGTTGGCTAGGGTTGAGGTCAAACACATTCAGACCAAAAGTACACGAAAGTATATAGGCTGTGATGTCTGCATCCCTTTGGCCATATGGCGGTGTAAGTCACTACTTCTAACTCTTCATCCACCAAGAGGTATAAGCTAAGCAAAAGGAGAAGAAGAAGAAAAGCAACATTTTTGACATTAGCAAAGGGTACATGGACAAAGTGGCTAATGCACTGGTTGTACTATACTAGTGACTAGGGGACGAAATCTAATGTCGCGAAATCTCACAAATATTAAAACACAGCGATATATATTGTCGAAGTGAAAAGCTCTCTTGCGTTATCAATACATAAAACAAGAGCAGCAGCCAGCATCACAGAGAGTGAGGGTGAAATTAGCATAGAAGATGCCCCCTCCACTTTTATGTCATTTCTGTGGCCGCCTTTCAGGTAGCTGTTGGAAACAAACTGTGGCAGACAAGACATGAATATGTAAACATTCTAAGAAACTAGTGCTGTACACTGCAGCTTGGGGTTAGGTGTTAGGCCTACTGTTTGCACTAACAAAGTAAGACTAAGAAAAACTGTTATTTATTTTTACTTACTGTATACGTTTTTCATTTTTAATGTTCAATGGAATGTTTAATGGAAAGGAGTTCAGTTAGGAGGTCACACACTGGTTCAATTAGTGTTAGGGCTTGGAAGCTCATGCATACTTCATGCACAGTTCTAAGGTCTGAAGAGACGTGAAATCATACAGGAGAGAAGCCAGTCAGTTTAGTTTGTGGCCAAACCTTTTAGAGTGCTTGAATATTGTTGTCTTTTACTGCATACAATAATTCATACTCAGAAAGTAGAACTGAAGTGACATTCATTAGATGATTAGTTAAAACCATAGATGTTATTAGACCCCTTTTCCGGGGGTATATGCTCCACTATTGATCAGCTGTGCCCCAGTAAATTCACAGGATCAAGTTTTAACAAGCTTCTTTATTTGGAGGTGGATTAATTTAGATTGATTGAGTAAAGAAATTATTTGTTGTTCTAATCCATAATGTAAAAGCAAAATACAAGGTGAGGCACAGTGGTCAGGGCTCCTACACCATGGTGTGCATGTCAGGCACTTCATCTCCCATCGTGCAGTTGTTTCCTCCAAGCAAAGTCAACAATAGCCTACTTGACTGATTAGTTTGCCCTCTGTGGATTTTTGTTTTCAGTGAAACGAACTACTGTGATAGGTTGGAAGGACGCTTGGGTCACAGCAGCATATGACCCAAGTTACCATAAGTGCCCTGATCTGTGGTTTTAAAGAGTCATTTCTACTGGAGCACAGTGAACTGGATTGAGTTTATCTGACCATGAGTTGCCTTTAGTTGTCAAGGTTACATTTTGATAAACTTCAAAGTGACTGTGGCAGCAGTAGCCTGGCGAACACATCATAGTCCTAATGAAATTGCAGTGGTTACGTATTTTGGAATCGAGATTTGTTCCAACGCTTGTACTGTAAACATCTAGGCTATGATGAGAAGATATAGAAGGTATTCATAAAGTGCACTATGTTATCTCTGCTGATACTGATATGTGATTTATAAACTACGATTCCAGTTTATCACCTGATATTAGTAGATGTATACCACCTGTCTGTCATCAGGAGGACAGCAGGGTCTTCACCAGGCTGACCAAAAGCAAAAATGTATTGGACAAAAATAGATTTCATCTTGGCTCATCAGCAAGGAACCAGCAGCGTTTATAAGTATGGCTTTATTAATTTACCCGTCTTACTACAAAGGGCAGGGGAAAATCTCACAATGACTCCAGGAGCTTGATCCATCAGAAGTGAAAAGTAAAAGGTTTCCAGCACATAAATAGGCTAACAGGTGACCTACCTGATTTAAGCAGCTGTCTGCAGCAATTACACTTCAAATGTGCCAAAGATAAAAAAAACAAAAAAAACAAACAAACGTGAAGTGTAAAAAGGAGTCCAGGGTTGATGCGTGTGTTTCAGTGTGGATTGACACATTTGATTGACTGGAAGTCTCTGCTTCATTAGACAGGAGAGTGACAGACCTGCAGATAAATGTTGCAATGACGGTATCGTGGAGGTAGTTACGTCTGTCCTCCATTTTTACAGTGAGGGCGATTTGTTCGTGCAGTCCCAGTGTGACCTTTGAAAAAAGTCAGTCGCACGTTAAATAAATTTGGTTGCAAAATGTGACTGATCACTCGCAGTCTGAAGCCATGTTTTAGTGCACTTAACAGTTGCATTTTCCTGAAATATAACTTAAATTTGTAAATACTTGCAGTGCACACAGCAGTAGTGCACATTATTTGTCTGCAGACACATCGGCCATTTAGAGTGTAGTCATCGGCTGATGCCAGTCACCTAAAAAAATGCTGAAAATTGGCCGACCGACTAATTGGTTGATCACTACGTGGCACCCTGGTTTCTATCCTTTCAATAACGGTAAGCAAATATTTTATGATTAAAAATTTGTTAAATTTTCTGTTTATTTTTGCAATGTGGTGGAAGCTACTTTGTCATAGGTCTAATTCTTTGGGTGAGCAGTGGTTCTTACTGGTTGTTTTATCAATAAACAAAAAATAAATAATACATAAAGTGGCAGGCTTTGTTTATGTTGCCCACCCCATTTTAATGCTCAGCTGTAAAATTTCTTGAACCAGTCCATATTTCCCATAACTCATAAAAAAAAACATGTTCCCTGGATCCCTGACAAAATGCATATGTGTCAAAAGAAAAGAAACAATTTCGTATTTGTATTTTTAACACTCAAATATTAACATGATTATCAGCCTCAGAAACCCAATATTGGTTGGACTCTTAATTGATCTAGTGGTTCCATATGTGCTGACTTGCATACAACTATAGAAGGACATTACGCTCATGAGCAATAATATTGGTGCTGGAAATGGTATGATCATTTACCATATCAACGCACAAGATATGGTGCAACACCCATATTGAGAGAAGTAAAACACCGCAAGCTCTAGTGTGTTAGATGCTTATCATATTTTAGTTATCAAGACCTGTAAATGTTTTCTGGCTTGCACTCAGTGCTCATATTTAATTAAGATAAATCAGTAAGCCTGCATCCTGAGATGTCAAGGTTGTATGTAGTTTTCATTTGTATGACAAAGTCAAATATGAGAAGGATACTGTCAGATTTGACGTGTAAGAACGCCAAATGGTGTTTGTGGTGGACTCAATTATAAAACCAGACGGACTGATTTAGCTGAAGGTTTTTTTACTCGTAACAACTAGACAATCAATACACAGTCCGCGATACACAATCGGGTCGATAAGACAGTCCAGGGTCAGCGCCGGTAGACAGGTATAACCAGGAGATCCAAACTCGAGTGGTCAAGGGGAATAACTCAGAAAGTCGGTACACTGCAGGCAATCAGAAACTGGAAGGGCATAGGCAAAACACGGTGGTCAAAAACAGTAATCCAAGGTCAGAAACAGAGAATCAGGCAAGGTATAAATGCTGGAGAGTCAGAGCTGGGGTCTAGAACAATCTGGCAGCGTCCTTGTGGGAGGACGCTGCCTAAATAGAGGTGTAAACAGGTGCAAACAATAACGAAGCAGGTGAAACTAATGTGAGTGATGAAGAACGTAAAAAGACCAAAACTAAGGTGAAACAAAAACAAGAAGTAACGTCAAAATAAAAGCCTGACAGGAAGCAACA